ACATTATCTTATCCTTGTGTTCTAATGTATATGGAGGCTAGGGACAATCGTGATTTAAATGAATTAATCTTTTTCAGAAATCTGATGCATAGTTTTGGCTGACGGTAGAGAAATCTTTCTTAAACCTCGCTTGCCTCCGTGCATGATGAATTATGTTTAATTTGAAGAAAAAAAAACTAACTACTCTGTAATAGCCGTAGACGTTCGGTAAAAAAAACATCGACGCCCCTTCAGATTAAGGGCACTTCGGCCAGCTACACAATTAAACACAATGCGGTATTATACTTTTTTTTAACAAGGCATGGTCATATTTTTGTGACGGCATCAACCAGCCTTGTCCCCCACACGCTGTGCTTGCTCCATCACTCTCCTCCGCAGCCTCTCCCCTCCATGCCTCCTCCCCCCGCTGTCGCCTCCCCTCCCTCCTCGCCTTCCACGGCTGAACTTGTTTTTAATGGAGCCCAAGGTTAAGTTCTTACGAACGAGTGCTCGGATTTTTCTCTTTTTTCACGGCCGTACATGCGTCCGTTCATCCGTCCGTCCACAGACAACGCTGACATTTTAAATTGAACTTCAAAACCCCGGAGCCAGTCGCTACCAGTCTGAATGCTCGGCTCGTCAAATGCCCAGTTCTCTATAGATTTTTGGGTAAATATGGGCAATACATCACATCAACGATTGAAAGCGGTTTTCAAAAACGATTTAAAAAAATGTTTAATTAACCTTTTGCTGCTCCAAGAGGCAGAAGTGTGGTGCTGTGGATGAGGGAAGGGATGGGGGGGGGGGGCACGTGCTGAGGGGGATGCGGCCGAGTGTTTATGAGTGCATTGTGGAGGGGAGGGGGGCTCTCGGAAGGGGACCTCTCTCCTGCGTGAAGCACATGCCCTGTTACAGCATTCTGCTGTATTAAGCTGTAGCATAGGAATTGCCCTCTGAGAGTAGTGGGCAGGCATGCCAGCCTCTTAACGTTTCTATGCAAAATGCACCCCTCCATATGGTTTCTGCTGCAGTTTATCTTACAGTGTACATTAATGAGTATGTATGTATATTTTGGCCTTGCCAAATTTTCAATAAAGGGATAACTCATAAAATTTTCATTTTTTCAGATTTGAGGAGTCGTGTGCCTAAGAATTCGTATATTTTGCAAAATTTCGCCAATTTTAGTTTTTTTCCGTGGTGTATTGCAGATTATAGGATCCACCAATCAGTTCCCCCACATCAACGACGTGGATTAAAGGAGTTGCACTCCTTCGTGACCCCACACTACAGACGGACGCGGCTAATGCATTAACGCTTTCCTAGCCCACGCTAACAAGCGTGGTGAAGTAGTCAAATAAACCCCACAACCTGCATGGCGTGGAGAGGCTCTCATCCAGCAGTGGATTGACAAAGGGCTTGTACGGTCATGTAAATGCACATAGATCATATTCTTGGTTTTCAAAGGCCAGCCTGATAAGTTTGTACTGCAGTTAATTCCACCAGTTTGTAAAGAACATTCCAGAGCCCTCCTTTTTAACCAAGTCTACAGATCTGATAAGAGACAGAAAATGGCATGGCAATGATATGTAAAAAAAAAATCCTCGAAATGTACCCTTCCAGAAGAAACTATTCCCAAAATCATAATTATGGGGTTTTGAATCTGTGAAATTCCCTGACCATTCCGTGAGCTTTCAACGTGAATTTCGTGCATGTGAATCGTTTAAGACTCGATTCACATTGTTCGCCCACTCGTGCAATGGATAAGGGCACACTTGACAAGGGCATGCAATAGCAAACATTTTCCTCGTGGCGTTCGGTTGACGCTCACGGTGTTTTAAATAGCCTGGCTGGGCGCTGGAAAAAGTGTCCCAGATAGTTTGAGAACCATTCATTCGATTTCAAGTTCGAGAAAATTACGTACAATTTTTGTTAATACTATATAGGTAAAATTTTGATTGAAAGCTTTCGTGACTGCAGGGATTCATATTCTGGGTTCTTTCGGTAAAGTCACGTAGAAGGGAAACAATAAAATAATAAAAAGAAACAAGAATACTATATAGGTTGTTCGTCTCTTATTTGTGACTCTTCAGGATATTTGTTCAATTTTAACATTAGGTTAGTAACACTTCGTCTTGTGCTCTCCAGTTGCCTGGGTGAAAAGGTGGGCCAGGTGTTGCCCAATATTGGCCCAGCTGGCTAAACAAATGATGGGCTATCTTGTTGGTTCTTTCAGTGAAGTCACGTAGAATGAGAATAAAACAATAAAACAAAATAAGACAATAAAATTCTCACGACGTTTCGGCCACAACACAAGTAGCCTTCTTCAGGTGAAGGAACAGAACTGTCAGGACGACAGCGCTGTGTTGTGGCCGAAACGTCGTGAGAATTTTATTGTCTTATTTTGTTTTATTGTTTTATTCTCATTCTACGTGACTTTACCGAAAGAACCAAGAAGATGAATTATTGCAGTCACGAAAGCTTTAAATCCAAATGATGGGCTGCTTTTTGAGCTATCATTTGTCGCCAGGCCGCTTTTGGAAAAATAAGTTAATACCTCAGTGGGCTTTGTCTGGGGATGGTTTAATTTTATTTGTTTGTTTGGTTGATTTGTTTACCTTTCCTATACTTTCCACTACTATCATGTTTTTGTAGTTTGTTGATGTAACGTTCTTACCCCGTGCCCCTAATGGACATCTGTGAGCCGTATAGCTCACTGAATTCCTCCAGTCTAAATACATATTCTGATTATAATGCATGAAATAAAATGAGCAGCTGAACGAGCGAGCACAGCGAATGGCCCGCGCTGTGCCTGGCTTTGTCCATGGTCATCCGCTGGCGTGTCCCATCTCTGCGCCCAGGCCAGCTTGGTGGAGCCGAGGTGCGATGGGTAGGATTTCCACCATGGGTGGCGGGGAGGAGGAGGATGAATGTTGAGAATCTTTATATAGCATGAAGCCGGTTTGTACCAGTGCGCGTCCCTCCCTACCCTCAATTTCCACGGCTGCCTCGCTGCCAGAGTACACAATAGGGCCTGCACTTCCAATTAGCACGGTTGGCTACGTATATACGTTGAACTTCTTTCGCGCCGTATGTAGCCAACCGAGCTAATCGCAGATGCTACGTGCGATGCGAAAGAAGTTCCAACATACACACGGGGTATTTTAAAGGTTTGTTTCCAAAATAAAGTGAACTGGCAGCCGCATGCAAGAGAGCAGAGTGTTCGTCAGTGGGTCAAACAACGGTAAAGGTCTTTTGCATCTCGTTTCACTGTAGTGTGTGGCAAGAAATAACTGGGATTATGTTGCGTTACACTTTGCGAAATGTTCCTATGGCCTGCTGCTAAGCCTTAGGCAGTTATGAATACATGTGTACAGCTTTATTGTAATAGCACTCAACATTTAACGGTGTACTTGAAAAGATATAAAAAAAGATTTCATCTGAATAAATCAAAATGGCTCATAGTCGACAAAAGCCAGGCATAGAGTTATTTGATATTGTTTGTCATCAATGGTAGAAAATGTTTTACATATCGAGCTGGCTAGCTTGGGTGGTCAGCTTCCCAATTATGCGTTCTTCCATTCCCTATGATATTCATAAACACTTAATGTAGGTGTTTCATAAGCAAACAGCTCTGGAGTAATTTAATTGAGAAATCAGTTTTGTCTCCTTTTTTAATATAAAAAGGATCGCGGCATCTGTCCATGACTGAGGTATTTAATTTCTGTGTTAGGCACTTAGCTTTTATTAATCCAACTGGTCCCACTTCTTTGATGATGCCACTTTGTTGATGGCGACGGAATGACAGCCAGTAGGGGAAGCACCCGAGAGAGGACGCTGGCCGTAGAAAACAGAGCGTTGGGTTCAGTTTATGTACGGCAGCAAAGCGGCTTTCGTCATCACGTGGATCATCAGGATGGCAACAATGTGGGGAGGCCTCCATCCAACAGTGGATTGATCATGGCTGTCGATGATATTGATCGATGACGATAAATATCCTTGCAATCAAGAATGTTCTTCAGCATAAAGGACTGAGTGCCAGCCACGATATAGCTCAGTTGGTACACCAGCGTGCTCCCAGTTGAGAGCACTATTGATATTCTATATTGATATTCTATCCAGTTAGGAGGTTGCTTATAATTCCAACTGGTCCACTGAATCAACAGTCACCCCATGGGGGACTGCTACACCACTGCCCCACTGGCACCTATGGGGACGAGTCCTGTAAACAACATGTTTTGAACATGGGGACACCATTATTTTGCAAGCATCATGCATATTCATGGGGTTTTACATTTTTAGAACGTATTCAGCGCGTGTTTTTTTCAGCTGTTTTTTACTTGGCAAAGAAATTGTATTTTTTTCTAGGCAGTCCACATTCTGCCCCCCCCCCCCCTCCTCTCTCTGCTGACTTCCAGCTCTCTCACTCTGATCTGCAGCTGCACCAAAGCAGCCAAAGCAAGCAAGACACAAGCCAGCTCTTTCCATTCACCACACACCCAAGGATTTTTGCCATAAATAGCATTCCCATTGTGAGGCCACTTCCCCAGCCATAAAACAAATGCTGGCACATGTCTCTTCACTCCACCATCAACGTTCTCCCGTCAAAGATGAAGAGGAAATCAACGACATTTTTCAACACCTAAAAGTGATCGTTAGAGCTTAATAAAATACTCAACTCTGAATTATTTTGTGCAAAATTTACCCGTGCATTATACTTACCAATCTGGCAACATGAAATGTATTAAATCTATTGAATGGAATATTCTTTTTTACAAATTAACTAGACAGATACTTGCAATATCCAAACACAGATGGAATAAGTTAATTCTATACTCGGTTGATTAGCCATAAAAGTAAGTCTTTGGTACATTTTTGGAACATTAATGCCGTACTTATCCAAACATTAAGCAAATAATAACAAACACCAGAGGTGTGATGGAAATTGTTATGAACGCATGTCATAATTGAGTGTTGTGCAACCTCAACGCATGACAATACTTTTTTATCGTCTTGTTTTTCAGAGATTCAGGAATATTGCACATCCATCAAAATGAATAACGGCTGAAGCAAGAACTCCACACCGTATGCGAACCCAGTGATGGCTGCTGTTGAAGACACATGGACATTTGTTTTCCCTTCACAGAAAATGTGTTTATTGCAAATGGTAACATTCCAAAATTACAAGAATGCAAATGTTTATTTTATAATCGTCACGTCTTTGAAAAATTGTTGCATAGATGCAATAAATTATTTCTGATTCTGCAGTTTCAAAATACATGTTAAGATTTTTGTTTTCCTAAGCCGACAAACAAGCATATCTCAACTTGGGCAGGTGGTGGGGGTGAACAAACCCAAAACTTTGGGCTCTCAAAACCTGAGCCGTTCCACCACCGAGTGTTTGATGTTCACGTCTGCTAGGCGAGTTCTACAGGATACTTACAGAGAAAATAAACCTGTGTTTTCTGCGACCTCAAAATATTTGTTATACCAGTATGATATTTCTGCAATTTACATGTAATGCAAATAATGTAATGTACCTCTTGATTTCATTTAAAAAAACAGCATGGTCCTGCACCTAAACATTAACAATAAACATAATATACTTCCCCTCGGAATGTATCACCTCTAAATTGCGTCAATGGCACTTGATCAATATTTATCCAACCAGGAGATTAGAGCCCTCATCTGACGTGTTTAATTTACTGGAAAAAAGAAAATACATTTTGAGTAGCTCATTGCATTTATATTCAGGAAAAGAAAAAAACCCCCAGAATATTCTAAATGAGTAACAAGTGGTATATGTAAAATTTTAATGCACCAAGATTCCCGGCTTTAATACATGTGAGAGAGAAAAAAATAGAAGTTCTCACAAGTGTTTGTGAAAAAGTGTTCATTGCACGATTCTCAGGATCAGACCCGATTGATGTGTTGGTATAAATAGCGATTCCACCAATATTTGGTGCATGGATTAACTGCCAAATTGCCACAGCTTTTTGCAGATCTGTTTTAAGTTTCAATCAAATAAAAAAATATTCTGTCACCAACGTTGCAGTCGGGTCAATTTGCTCATATCTTATAATGCGTTCCGATTAAAGATTATTCCTTACAGCGTTTATTGATTAAAGTTGTCAATGTATTTAACAGGTTCTACAAAGTTAAAGTGCACCTTTACATGAAGCTATGGAAATGCCCACAGTTGAACCCGTAAATGTACACCCACGTTTACAAAGCACTGGAGCTGCCACCCCCACAGTATCAAGACACCTCGTAAGCCCAAAGTGACACCCCACACCATTCTCCCACAATCACCGTGCAGCCACCTTACGTCACTTTTCAGCATTTGGGTCCGCCGTCTTCCCAAACGCCTGTAACACAGCACAGAGTTTTGTTGTCATTTCACATTCTAAAGTAAGTGAAGGAAAATTATTGTTCGATGAAGAATGGCAACAGTTCTTTGTTATTAAGCGTGGAGCAAATTGCAGGTAATTTACCAGTAACATAATTTAGATTCATTAGTATGGGGGTGTTTTCACAATTTTTCTTTATACTTCAATTCCTTTATTTAATTAGAAAATACATATTCGATGATTTTGTACGTGTTCTCAGTTGTTACATGAGCGTAATTGGGTTGTCACGTAATCAAAGAAACACCATTTAATTTATATTCTGAATCTTCTTTGGTTCTTCTCTGTCTCCTGGATAGACCTGTTTCTTCACCTGAGGAAGGCCGAAACGTCGTGAGAATTATATTATTTTGTTCTCATTCTACGTGACTTTACCGAAAGAACCAAAGAAGATGAATCCTTGCAGTCACGAAAGCTTTAAATCGAAATTTATATTCTGAATCATAAATACTTCATAGCCAACTTGAGCGATTTCTACGAACACCAACCTGTTAATGGCTGACTAGAGTGCATACAGCAACATTGAGCAAAGCGTCATCAACTTAAACAGCTGAGCTCATGACCACATCACAATGACTGCCCAGCCTCATCCGATTTCAGAAGCTGAGCAGAGGGGGATTCAACCCTGGTTGGTGTTTGGGTTCGGGGACCATCAGTGCAGACCAGGTGTTACAGGTGAGGCATCGGTGAGGATGTGAGGTGCCTAATAGTACAGCACGGATGGATTTGATCCTCTCCACTGGACTGTCTGTTGATTGACCTGTGCGGGTCTTTGAGTCTCTCAGCCTCGTACTTGTAAATGTGACTGACCAAACATCCCAATGAAGAACCTTCCTTAAAAAAAAGTCACAAGGTTTTCCTTGGTAAATAATTGCCATTGCTTCACGAGTTATAAAGATGCCTCTTACCATCTCAATGTACAAACATTTCGCAGCAACGTCAATCGAAACGAGAGCACGAGCGAACCTATTCCCGAATCTAATCGCGAAGATTCATTGAATCACTTTGGGGGGGGGGAGGAGGGGGTGAATCATCATAGGCAGTTATTTTTTCCAGCAAGTTCCCCTCTGGCGAGAAAACATCGGGCAGGAAGACGGCGATGAAAAGAATTGGCCTGTTTTGAAAACAAATAGTCGCGCGGAGTTAAATCCACCCGAGGACAGATTTGTTGTGAATAACCTCCCTCGCGTAAGACAAGCTAATGGCCGGAGCGACCACTGCTCCGGTTGCCGTTGAGAATTCTTCAGCCGCTGGTGTTGTGGCGTTAGCTATTTATGTCCTAATTCATTTTTTTCCTTTGGATAGTTTTCTTTGCCCCGTTCACCTAAATATGTGATTCTCACAAGCACAATCGGATGCGTGTGCCGCAAGCGTAAGAATCTGTTTCATTCGATGCGTCGTCTTTACGCGCTTGGACCATAACCTTGCTGATATTACATAAGGTCACGTACCACCATGGTGCTTATGAAACACACAACAGTGATATCACCCTGACCTATATCTCTCCCACCTGTGAAAAAGGTCAGTGCTTTGCGTTTCTGGAAGTACACAAATATTGATGGCCCTATTCATATGTTGCCATAAACAAATTTGCCAGGTTTTTTTAGAGAAAAAAACCTGCCAAATCCATATCGTGGAAAGCCTACCATTTCCTATAAACACCGCTTGAAATTGTCCTTTCACCAACCATATAATCAGAACCGCAACTTTACCTTTCAGCGATGGACCATGTATTCAATTATATTTCATTTGACAGCAAATCAAGCTCACTTGGAAAAGTCAATCGGGTGGGAGGTAACTTCCAATTGAATCGCGCCGTAGTTTCAAGTAAAAAAACTGGCAGCCGTCTGTCTGGGTTTGAACAGAACGGGAATGCCGCTACAGCATTCAGTGCAACCTCCTGCCCACATGCCATGCCTGTTCGCCTCGTCACACGCGGAGTGAAGAGGCTATTTTCCCATTCGACAGCGATCTCGTCTGGATAAAAAAGGACACTGCATCCAGCTCGCTCTAAATCCAGCAGCGACATCTGGAGGGGATAACAAGGCACCCGTTATCGGGAAGCGCGGCTACACCATTTTCAACTGCTGGGTGTGGTGGGAGAGCTCCACTCCACATTTAGCAGAGACGCTCTGCTTGCCCGTAAATGTGCAGGGAAACACACGTGGACCGATGGAGAACGGGAGGGCAACAGATAGGACGAGTGGCAATAGTTGGGAGAGGCAGTGGGCAACTAATAGTTAATTGTGAGTGTGTGACGTGAACATTGCAGGGCCTCGTATTAACGCGATGCATAGTCAACGTAAAGGAAGAATGGGCCAGTTGATGATCACAGCAGTCACTTCTCCTTGTCAGCACTACTCTCTGCCCGATTTCTTAGCTGTTGCAGACAACGGCGCGCCTTCAAAGCCCATGCTTACCATATCGCCATCTGCTTTTTCCTTGATTGGATTTCTGACCTTTAGGCGCTCATTGCAATGAGCAATTTGACCTTGCACGTCACCTGATGTGCTTTTACGAATGACGATGCATTCTTCCAAAAAAATGTCAAGGCATGCAATGGTTTCAGGCCTTTAGTTCCTATAGATTACTAATAATTTGCAGTCCTTTGTCAATCCACCGCTGCATGAAGCCTTGCCCATGCCAAGGTTAGTGTAATAGTCAATATAGTGAAGAAAATAAATATATGTACTTATACGCTATAAAAGATACGTCAATACAAAACTAGAAATAATTAGTTTACAAGCTATTTGCACCAGTTTTACAGCACAAAGGATTTCAGGTGTTGTATTTATACCTTTGAGCATACACTGCCAGCAGGGGACAATGTTGCTATGCAGTTTTACCAAATTTAGTCATTTGCAGATATTAAAAAAACTGGACCATGACGCCGGCACACACGCCTCTAATTTTCGATGACATCATGGGATCCATAAAAACCACTGAAGAAGATGGCATATATATTTTTTCCTTTTACCAACGTGTTGTAGTATCAGTACCAATAAGCGGTACATTTTTTTGCATACTCGCAGCATGAACCAAGGCAGCCGCTGGACTCAAACCACGACCCTCTTACAGCAATCGGAAAATGTTCTACAACCTCTTTTCCCTGTCACTGAAAATCCCATGTTAAATCATGTGGTTAAGTAATGGAGCGGTGATGCAGTGGTTAGCATATTGTGCTCTAAACCAAACAAGAGTTCCATTCTTGGCCACAGCTATCATCAACGGTAAGCGCTATCTGAAGCTGGAGTGCCTCTCTTCACCAACCCGCACTAACCGGTGCGAAGTATGGTCAAACAACTCATAAGCAAACGATTTGTGAAATGGCATGCACTTTTTAAATAATTGAAAAGGCACACGTTCAATACAAGTCTTTTAATAATATACATCAATCGTGTTATCCCCATGGAGGCAAGTAAATGTTTTTAAGACGTTCCACAGCGGTATTTTGCTGCTGAATTTAAACCGAGAAACGTGACTCATCCTCGTACATGTCATAGCCCCGCCACGATTATAATGTTAAAAATATAACACTACATTCATACTACAGTTCAGCTCATTAAATGAATTGCGATGCTTTTCTAGCCGTGATACTGTTTATTTAAATAAAGAAAATAAAAAGGCAACCATAACCAGGTTTTTTTTCAATGAATACATTTCCTGCACAGAAGTTAATTTTAGACGTGCAGCTTATTCAGCCACATTTCCATAACACGAGAGAGCAGTTAAGTCACCATCTACTTTCTTATCTAATTACCAGGTGGTAAATCACAACAATTAGCGCGACTTCTCAATGAAATGAGGCATTCCAAATTGGATAAGGAAAATAAAATCTCACCTGACAGTAACCGAGTGATAATGGTGTGAATGTACCGTTTTAGTTTGTACATCAGAGTACGACCACATGGCCACATGAGATTTCGGCAATACTGAATTGTCGTGATCACATTCACGTTAATTTAATTGGTCCGAAGAAGCAAAACAACTATTATAATACAAGCAGCTTCATGTGACCGTGCAAGTTGCCAGCAAACGTCAGAAAATCCTGCCCCTACTTAAGGGGTGCCATGGTGGCGAGATGTTATCATCCTCGCCTGGTATGCAGGAGGTTGGGGGTTCGATCCCAACCCTGACCGTATTTATATTTGGAGTGTGCACGTCCATCTCATGGTCGCGTGGATGTATTTCTCCGGGTCCTCCAGTTTTCCCCTCCACATTTAGAAACGTGCGTTAAAACTATGTAGATTATTTTGCTGCTATAAATGTCCACACGATAAGCCACTTTGTCAAGCTATCGTTTGCAGCCAGGTCGCTTTTGATCAATAAGTTAATACCTCAGTGGGCTTTGTCTGGCAGGATGGGGATGGTTTAGTTCGATTTGTGTTTTGGCCATTTGTTGACCTTTCTTGTACTTTGCATTACTATCACGTGTTTTTGTTGTTTCTTGTAACGTTCTTACCCACCCCTACTGGACATCTGTGAAAAAGAGCTTTATAGCTCATCGGATTCCTCCAGTGCAAATTAATATTCTGCTTCTAACTCGCCAACAGCAGCCATCTTTAAAGCAAAAAAACAAAGCACACCCAGAAATTTGTATAACTACACACTATTACGTTTTTTTTTCATTACTCAACTAATCAATATGCTTAGAATACACCGTCATTTAGATTACTTCCCAAAACCTACAGATTTACAATTACTTTTAACAACGCAGCAGCAGTATGGCTGTGCGCAAAAAGCAATCGCATTTGGAATATCATTGAATATTTTCCTTTGACAAAATGTGCCGTTCGATTCAAAACACGAGGCGCCTCTTCTCATGCGTAGCTCGTCGAATAAACTGTAACGTTAAAGCCGCACTCATTAAAGTTGTAAATCATAATTAAACCCTTGCCATCCGTATCCGAATTAGCGAAACCGTTCTTTATTCGTGACAGGCTGTTATAAAGCGTGTGGATAACATGTCGTTATCCAGATCAGTACTGTACTTCCAATTATCTGCGAATTTAGAGATATGAGGAAGGCCGCGAAGAGACATGGTGTTGTCCATTTTTAAGATCAAAAAGTTCAGAAGCATTTTTGCCAAGTAAGCCAATTGAGCTATACACACGCCACTCTTTCTCAAGGTCAACTTGGCCAGTAGATATTATTTTCCAGGATAAAAACAGATGTTTCTGTTTTCTGTGATTTCCGCTGAACTGTGTGCAACACAGCACCTGTACACCATGCACTTTCTTCACAATACAATATTTGCTTGCAGACTCGGCATTGTCTTTGGGCATCTACAATTATTGGCTTTCAGCCTGAATTAGATGGGGTAAAATACCTTAAATTCCATCTGAAAATAAGAAAAACTGTTGGCTAAACTCCCGTCAGTTATCTGTAATTTTCCACAGATAACTGGATTTAAGGTAAGCACTAGGATTTTGGTTTTCAGTGTGAAAACCAACTCACTCGTGCAGTGTTCCGCCCATTAAGACTAAAGTAGTCATCTCGTCAAATGGGAGTTGGGCAGTGGCAGTTGTTTTTGTGGCGTAATCCTTTATCTCTAGTGCACATACTCCTGTAAGGCCGTGGGGGCTGATGGGTTGTCAAAATCTCTCACACCTTTCGTCTCGTATAAATTCAGTGTGCCCATGTTTGGACAACAGCACACGCGTGCACACAAATGTGATCGATTTTAACGTACGTACAAGATCACGTACACATGCGCACACAGGCAAAAAACCCCGCTAATCATGGGTCTAACCAACAGTGAAGGGTAATTCTATTTGCGCTGTCTCAGCCCTCATCAAATTTACTAATATTATTGGCAAGCCGAGGTTTGGTGGCAAACGGCAAGGGCCGTGTTGACCTCTTGACCTTGATATGCTGGTGTGAATACAGATGCACTACCAGCTTTTTCCACCACTGAAGTAAGAGTCAGCCTTGAATGCTCCAGGCTGCAACACATTTGAAGAAGCCAAGCAACACAATTTTAAAAAAGATTGCATGATTTTCACATATATTCCTATACTTATTGACTTCAATGTCCAGTTACAATTAGATGCAGATAAAACCAGTAGATGCCATTGTTGGAGTGAACATGTTCATGTTTTATGATCTTGATAACAGTTGAACCCTAAGAATTAATCGGATACAACTAGGTGGCTCATAAGGGACATGTGCCCATATCAAAATATCTAGTTTGCATCACTGAAATTGTAGTGATCTTAGCAACCACCCACAATTAAACCAGATACTTAATTTTACGGACTCACTATGGTCACCAACTGCTATATATGCACACCATTTGCAATTATTTTGCACTTTATTTCGACCGTCCCAACTCGTGACAGCATATTCGGCACAGACTCAAATGAACCAACTGCTCAGCAAAAGAATGTCATCCAGTGGTTGTGGTAATACAACATATAGGTAATATGAATGTAATTTAAAAGCCTGTGGTGTTACATCCAGGTAATATTCCAACATGAATGATGGTTATCTGTATTTAAATTCTGATATCAATACTGGGATGTGATCCTTAAAAATATAGTAGGAGTGCTTTACAACAATACCCCAAGCATCGTGTAACAGCGATGGACATGCAAGGGCTCAACATTCCACCTTGTCAACAATCTCCACACGACTAGCACATATGCGCAACTTACCACTCATCTGCAATGGGCGAGGGCATATTTGCCCACCGAGGCAGAGATATTGGGGGGAGGGGGGGGGTTCGCTTAGCTGTATATTCTGCATTGAAGTTTTGCGATTTGGGGAACTGGGCATGTTTTCAAATTTTCTAATGTGCATGTACAGCTAGATATGTCAAAAATATCCAAGGACCACTTTGTTCACTGCCACATTCATTCTATTCTTAAGATGATAAAATCAAAGGGGCATTAAATCACCATCTTGTCTCAAGTGCCGCTGCACTTTTTTGCCGATAAAACGTTTTTGTCAGTGGCTCTTGTTCACCTGACAAACACAAGAGAAATAGGGAACACGTGTACGGGTCTTTGCAGAAGGTAAAATCCATTGAACTGCATAGACTACACAACAAACCTCATCTATTCCTTTACACAAATTGATTCTTTAATGGGGGGTGGGGGAGGGCTGACAACCATTCAATGGTTCCTAAAATGAAGGAATAAATCTTTAATTCATTTGTCTCATGTAATGCGCTGAGGAATAAACATATTCATCCTCCACCTTTGCTTTTTAAGGATTCTTGTCATCCATCGTGTTGTAAAACACCATGCATTAATTTCCTCTCACTTATGGGCTGTCTATTTTCATTTGGGGGCCTCAAGAGAAGGACCATGTCAGCGGAATGTATAGGCTTCGTAGAACCAATGACAACAAGAGGAAAGTTCACAGGGGCTCTATGAACTGCAGCACGTATGGTTCCCATGGTTTTAGCATGACTGAAGTAGCACTTCAACCACCAGGGACCAAACCCCACGTAAATGGAGTGAAGTTGTCCAGCTTGACTTGCATTTGTGGGTTAGAACCACCAAAAAGAACGAGGATGGGAGTAAAAAGATTTCAAGCTTTGCTCAATGGATTTATTTCAATTTAAATTACAGCACCAAGCGCCGTCTCTACTCTGTAGACTGGATAAAATTTCTAACCAGCAGAATTTCAATGAAGGGCGATGTAAACTTTTGCCTGTACTGTTGGCCTTTGAAGACTGTCTTGACATCTCATACATCAATGCTGACAGCACACATTGCTGCCCAACGCCCATGAGCTTCGCTCTTTGAAAAAATATTTTAAGCAACCGGAACATTTTGATGCATGATGTTGCAGTCCGAGAGGCATGCCCAACAAATTTCATTGATTTTTTTCACCTTCAGTGGCATGTTGCACTTTTGTAGTGACATAAATGTGTCATGGTGCTTATTTGGTATTCACAACTGCTCATCACTCTGTACCATGTAATCTGTATGGGCCACAGAAGTACCCGTTTTCAGAACATTGTTTTTTAAAAACTGCTGTCATGGAGGCTGTCATTCTAAGAACTTTGAAATTTCATCGTAAATATCTTATGTGCAGTCAGAAAGAGCGTGCCACCTTTAGTGTTTTTCAGGACCTAGCAGCTTTTCTATTAAGAAAAATTGTTCTTTTGCACATCTTATTCAAACTCCACAACTTGTCTTGATGAGTCTCACACCTTAACCTCTGGAAGTAAGACATTCCAGTCCAAAATCCAAAGTAACCCCCAGGAATTCAATTATTCCAGATGGAACAAAATAACATTTCGATCTGTTCAGAAGGTATTTAAAGCTTAAAACTGATGGCTGAATGTGATTGTTCGAATGGAGGAGTTTAGAGAATTGATGGGGGTGCGCGAAAGCTTAATTAAAGGCATCCGAATTCCTCACAAGAGTCTGAAGGGCGCATAATGCAATGTAATCAGTAATTAAAGGCATGGATGATAGTTGAGCGGACGAGGACATGTTTCTTGAATTGAACAAGGCTTTACAGGAACTTGGGGAGGGAGCTATTGGGAGTGTGTTCCCAAGTCGAGCATTGAGGAAATAAGATGAACGTGTCCCTACAATATGATGGTCGAGCACGGGTCCTGAACGTCGGTCAGTTACAATGGTTGTGTACTTGGTGACAGAAGCATAAGGGGCGACTGAACGATGGCCCAGTGAGACTGGAGTGAACCAGTTAGCACCGGGCCAATCAATCGACTAATTTGACATTCGATTCTATCAAATACAGCAGGGTAATAACGAGGAGCCTCACTCACCCAAGATGACAAGAGTACTCTAACACTGGTGCACCCATTAACATGGCGGCCACAGCAGCCGCGTTTTTCGGAGGTGCAGCATTTTCATAAATCGCGTGTGCCACAAGATAAACATGAATAGATAAATATTCGAGCTCTGCATGTGCCCGAGTCGTGGCACCTAATCACGCCTTGTTTCATCCCCCTCGAGTGCCCATGAAAGAGATGAGGCAGACTTTTAAAATACCATCCAGCAGCGCGCCTTTGTACATCCTCCACAGCAGGTATTTGCAAACACCTACTGTGCAGGCCTACCAACCATATGGCAGCGTTCGTTAAACTGTCACACCAAACCCACTGCTAACCTCCTTAACACCTTGCCAATTAGTCGCACTTTGAAGCCTAATTAAACTCGAATGAGACAAATATAGCCGAAAGCGACCACCCTTCCACCATCACCCCTCGCCCTCGACTTACAATTAGTGCTTTATCAACAGTGTTAACACAACTGAAGCCAATGCCTGCAGGATATTTATGCCTATTAATCGAAGCCTCAGTAAAGGTATTTTTTCTTAACATTGAGAGCTTCTTAACAACAGAAAAGCGAAGTTATTTTTTAACCTGTTCATTTATACAATGCAGTACGCACCCTTAATATTCACGGGGACACGTTCCTTTAAAACGGCACGAATATTAAATCCGTGAATATTAATAAAGCTTGAGGAAAATAGGGTTAGGCGGCATTGACATATACTAGGTTTAAACATACAAACTGTATTATATATCAATTAATACATATTGTATATTATTCTTATTTAACTTACCTTTAATAATGATTCATATAAACATTTAACCCTTTCCCATTCTGAGACCACTGCAAGTTGAAGGGTTGGTGTCTCGTTCACCTCTGATCTCGCAACGCACAAGCGGCTCAGCATTAATATTCTTCAAGAGAGATGTAGCGCCTTTGTTTTTAAAGACATTGTACTCACCGCAGAGAACCGTAGTGACACAACCGCACTCTATGATAACTGGCGCCAAACTGTGCCACATACCCTCCTGCTTGGCTTTGTGGGAACCTCGGTATCGCAAGTTATTTTATTTGTACTTCCGGTTTGGTTTTGATGATGCAAGCGTACGTCATTGGAAGGGAATCGGAAGAAAAAACGATGATGTACACGGATGTACGTCATCGGAACGGGAAAGGGTTAAGAGTGCAAATATCAAAGAATATAAAATGTATATTATACAGTAGGTAATTCCAAATTATTATATAGGAAAGCACTTGCGTGTCAAGAGAGGCAGACAGAGGTTAGAGTGACGTCGCGTGGGCAAGGCAATTATCACGCTCCAGCGATCCACGCCGCTCCCACGCGTCACAGACTTCTTGTCGGGTAGTCGCGAGATACGCCCGCGAACAATTAAAATACAACCCCTTGAATTTAAAATATCCATGACGATAAACTTGTCACGAAATACTGAAAGGCAACGATCAAAAAACCCACGAATGTAAAGGGTCAATTGTATTTGGGTTGACATCACTATGGGAGTCGGTGTGATACTTCTCTGTATTAAAAGTGAAGCATATAAGGTACAGATGGAGAAATATCTCAAGACTTACCCTTTGTAGAAATTGCTGGCCTAGGTATGTAGAAGCTAAGGTGGTCAAATTGCGCTTGCCTCCAAGTTTACAGCGCACATAGCCATACAAGTTGGCTCCCTGTAGGATCACTCCAAGTATCACCAATGCCTATAAAAAAAACAGACATGCAAGCCATGATCGTGTGCATACAAATAATCATGTAAAACTAATGTATACATTGCTTATTAAACATTGGACGAGTGGTGGCATACATGTTACACATGCATGTTCCCGTAAAGATGCTGATCCATATTTTTGCTGAACAGAGCACGGGGGACATACTTTTTTCACAGGCACATGTCTCTAAGTACATGCAGTGACCTGTTTCTGTTACTTTACAAGAACATTCCATATTTGTAACCATTTTATATTTCTAACCATTCCTAACACCCAACGCCTAAATTATGATTTACCCAACTGACAATGTGATTAACTGTCACAATTCAAGATCTGGATTTAAAAAAAAATATATTATTTTTTGTAGTTTCAACAGTAACTATCACTCGTATCTGTTGATACTGAGTGTAAGAATGTATTTTTACTGGTAGGAACCTCCTGGTTACACCAGCCCACAGGGGATTGCCCGTCCGTTGTGCATCCAAAAATGGGAGGGGTGGGGCTGGGTGGAGAGGGGAGGGTGGGGAGGGGCTGGGTGGGGAGGGAGGGGCTGGGTGGGGAGGGGCTGGGTGGGGCTGGGTGGGAAGGGGCTGGGTGGGGAGGGGCTGGGTGGGGAGGGTGGGGCTGGGTGGGGGGTGGGAGGGGTGGGGCTGGGTGGGGAGGGGCTGGTCACCCCGTGGTGCCCTTATAAAACTCAACGTTTAACCTACTCACGCCGGCTTGTGCCCGCCCTCACAGTCGGGCATATTTGCGGAATACACCACGTGGTGCCGCCGTTGACCCTGGCCATTGACCGAGCAACCCAACGTTCTTACCAGCTCCCTCCGCAGGAATGTGTTATCAGTACATATTTGAATACATTACATACTAATACAAGGCATACATCTACACAATATAAAATGTATGCAAATGTATTAGACACAACCGTAAAAAGCTTACTTTTGTACACAACTTTACCTGAAAATCCATATTTTCAGTATGGACAGTGCGCCACTGTTTTAAAAGCATGTATATGTAAAACTTGTAACATACAGCCAGTACCCTTACCATCCACCTCAGCTTTAGAGCAAAGAGTGTGCTGAAGAAGAATATGGACCAGATGAGAGGAGTGATGATCAGGCCCAACCAAAATATTCTGGCTTCTGCTTCTGTGGAGTTAAGTTTGTTTCGTGAAGACGCCTAAAAAAATAACACAAGGCACGAAACACAATTCCATTTTTAACCAAACATTGCTTCATACAACCTCAGGTGGTGCATCTGCCAGCCATGTCAGTCAGTGTAAATAAAGGTGTCATCCATTATTAAACAATTATAATTCGCAGATTAAGCGAGGTTAATAACACTACACACACACCTGGTAGTGTCAAGATATTATGATCAGTTTCATCTCTTTAAACCTCCACATGTCTGCTATGGCATTAATCACAGTATCCCATGGAGATGAGTCCCAGCTGTTCCTGCAGTTGTTCGCCAACATGTCATGTGTAATCGTTTTAAATGCTACTGAAGATTCAAGCTCTTTTAGTTTTTCCATCATACACTTTATCTTTCAACAGAACTCCAACGTTCAACCATGCAATTCAAACTGCTGTTTAATTTAATTACCCGATATATGATTATAAATTTCGATTTAAAGCTTTCGTGACTGCAAGGATTCATCTTCTTTGGTTCTTTCGGAAAAGTCACGTAGAATGAGAATAAAATAGATGGATTCTGGCTTAGTAACCATTGGAAAGATGTTTTATACCATTTCGGTTCTTAATTGTTTTATGGTGACCTTCAGACCGCAGCTCTTTCGCTGGCATTGACTCTTAATACTTCTCACACCACGGTTAATGGTATGGTTATAACATGATTATAACAGCGCCTCGCAGCTGTTTCTCTCCTCTGTTCCGACCACGATGGACTCGTCCGTCTGAACGGGGCTCGTAGCGGTCCGTGGTGCTGATGTGGAGGGTAAGAATCCACCCATTTTTTCGCCATATAGCATCTTGATATATAATGACTTATTGTTGGTAGCTCAGCTGATTGGAGAATATATAGAGTTTATTGATAACATTGAGGTAGTTTATATTTTAGTTTTTTATCTGTTTACTATATGGTATTCATTATATAGTGTAGTGTATACCCAGTTGCTGTTAATAACTCTGCTTATTGAAGAATATATTGGGTACAGTTATTATATTGATGTAATTTAGACTTAGGTTTTTTTCACATCGGTTTACTGTATGATAGTTGAGTTGTTGCAGCCCCTTTGGCGTCCATGTACGAGGTACCTCTGTAGATGTGTAGGCTTTGACTTTAACATAGCTATTTCTGTGACCAGTCACAAGGTAATCCCTCTACTGGTTCAATGCTAAATTCTCCTGTTTGATATGTAAACCCCTTTGTCAAGGTGCCTCACTTCTCTCAACCAGCTTAAAAGACGCGAATCTTAGCAGCGTTCATTGTAGCTGTCGTCCCAACAGGTTTGTTACTTTCACCTGAAGAAGGCCACTTGTATTCTTAGTTTTTTCGGTAAAGTCACGTTGAAGAGAAACAACAAAATAACAAAATATATATAAAACAATAAAAAATTCTCACGACGTTTCGACCATAACTCAAACGGTCACCTGATGATGACCGTTTGAGTTATGGTCGAAACGTCGTGAGAATTTTTTATTGTTTTATATATATTTTGTTATTTTGTTGTTTCTCTTCAACGTGACTTTACCGAAAAAACTAAGAATATGAATTACTGCAGTCACGAAAGCTTTAAATCAAAATTTAAGGCCACTTGTGTTGTGGCCGAAACGTCGTGAGAATTTTATTGTTTTATTTTAATCTCATTCTACGTGACTTTACCGAAAGAACCAAAGAATGATTATAACTTTATGGACACTGTATTTCAGTCTGCATTTAACACCTACATATCTTTTCATGTGAAAACAACAGTGACAAAACATATGTTTTAGGCATTTGTCGAGAGTATAGTTTTGAGAAACTCGTCCAAACAAAATAACGGCCCTAATTAAACAATTCACTTATTTAAATACTGGACAGCGACATGAAAGTGTAAAACTAAATTAAAAGGTGTGGCTCTTCCATTGAACATGTTAATTATGTGATTATCAATGCCTTAATATTTGGTTCATGTAAAAATGGAATGCAATGCCTACATTTAAAATATTTATTTTGAAATACGAACATTGGCCTTCATCCACACCCACACATCTCCCATCGGCATCATGACAACTTGTGTACTTCAAACTATGATGTAAATGAGGCATGTACAATTTAGGTAGCGCTCAAAATGTGCCATCCAGTGAACCCATAACATTCAAAGATCAAATCCTGACAAGGTTCAAAACCTCTACTAAACAAGAAAGCTGCCATGTAAATGCTGGTTTTCAGGTTATGTTAAATGCGACCATACCTTTCTGGCTTCAAACACCCAGTGGCTCTTGCCATCTTCATCAATCTGGTTCCACCAACGTAATCCCACCATCAATCTTCCAGTGACATTCTAATGAAATATATTATTTTACAAATATGTTTTGTTATGCAACATATTGCATTATTGTTTGACAGAAGAGATCTTTATTTAAAATCAAAACGCGAGATGTATTTCATACCTTCACAGTCCAGAAGTCGAAGGAAAGAAATAAGATGATGGTGACAAAGTTGGCAATGAAACTGTCGATGAACCACTCGCAAATTAAGTAAAAGACAATTGCAGAAACACGGAAAAATAGGTGGGAAAATGTCGCCAACGGGTGCCTGAAACACATGGAAACCATCGATAGGGTTAGGGTAGAAAAAAATAACCCTCGGTTAATCATTACTGTCCCCGTCTTGACGAATTCCCTGTCTGTAATACAACTAAGGAAAATATATAGTTTTGACCATTCCACTACATCAGCACTGTGGCAGTACTCTCTAAAAAAAGTCCCAACGTACGGTGCGAAAGAAGTTCAACATACCGTTCATACATACAACTCCACAACTACTGCAACATCACAAAGTACTTTGATTTAAAGCTTTCGTGACTGCAGGGATTAATATTCTTGGTTCTTTCGGTAAAGTCACGTAGAAGGGAAACAAAATAATAAAAATATAAAATAAAATTATCACGTTTCGACTGCAACACAAGCAATCATCACACCTGATGATGATTGTGTTGCAGTCGAAACGTCTTGAGAAATTTGTTTTATATTTTGTTATTATTTTATTGTTTCCCTTCCACGTGACTTTACCGAAAGAACCAAGAATATCACAAAGTACTGTTTGACAATCCTCTGGGAGAAACCCCTCTTCTCCAAGGCCACTGCATAAGTGAACACTACCCACACTACAGCACTGTATACAATAGTGAATAGTTGAGTCATTATTAAGTGTTCAATTATTTTGGTGATTTCTAAAAGCTTTTTGGTTTGGCCATGTTTTTGTTTATTGTAGTACGGAGTTAGACTGATGGCCTTAATCTAAGTTTTCTTGTTGTTTGACTTGCATCCCACTGTGATTTTTGCACACAGCGTTGGTGTACGGTGCTATTTCAGGAATATTTTGATGTTTTTTCCTGGATTTTCTGTTTGCACATGCACAAAGTCACTTTAAGATGTTTTCTTGTTCATGTTTTTGTTTGTTTGTTGCGGTTGCACACGATTCAAGAGCCGAATGGCTCACAGGGCTATATCAAATAAATGAAACTATGAAACTATTAAGCCACCGATTGTAGCCAACCTACGCGCAAAGCGCTGTGACATCGCAGGATCGTGAGTGATGACGGTGGCTTGGGGAGACCTTAATCCAGCAGTGGATTGACCATGGCTGGTGATATTTAATATTGTTTAATGTCTTATAAGACGTCTCTCTCTAACACCGCTAAACGCACTGCAATGCGATGCGTTGGTGTACGGTGCTATTTCAGGAATATTTTAATGTTTTTTTCCTGGATTTTCTGTTTGCACAGTGACATAATCACTTTAAGATCTTTTCTTGTTCGTGTTTTTGTTTGTTGCGGTTGCACCCGATTCAAGAGCCGAATGGCTCACAGGGCTATACCAAATAAATGAACTATGAAATATTCACAGTCTTATGCAAGATGTTCCCCTCCGAGACTATTTAATAAAAGTTACACAACCCTGTATTCTTAATTTATCATTGATAGAGCGCCTTCGCTGAAGTTGAGAGTTGTTTGACGGTCCTGGTCTCTAAGAATATATAGTTTTAAAATCCACCACCTAAGGCCACAAACTGCGCGAGCAAAGCCCACGCGCGGCCTAGCCCGCCTCGGGCCCCCCCGTCTCGCCTGGGCGCGCAACCCACCCGACGCGCCGCCTCGCCCGGCCAGGAGCCCCCTCATCGTCGTCGCCGAACTCGAGAGCCACGTCCTCCGTGTCGTCGTCTGACGCCTGGGTGAGAAGGGCGAGACATAAAGACGTCCGTGGGTTAAGCACAGCCGCAGTGAGAGAGATAAAAATAGAGACGGAGAGGGGGACAGTATGGACGTACTGCTCTCATGGCGCCGACGGAAATCGGCAGTCGCTCTCGGACGTGGCGCTGGAGAATCGACGCGGTGGGAATTCGATTCGTCTCTCGCGATTCCTACGAACGTCACGATTCAAAGTGATCCCAGTACTCGTGGACTAACAATTTTATTAATCGATGCAAAGCGCAATAATCGATGCCCGTTGTTGTTGTTTGTGCTTAGTGGGGGGCACAGGTGGTGTGAATGCAGCCGTTTCAGTCAACCCATGGCACCACCTGGGTCTGTCCCGTGACCTCCTGCACCTAGCCTGGCACAGGTGGTGCATCTGCCAGTCATCTCAGTCAATCCATGGCACCATCTGGGTCTGTCCCGTGTCCTCCTGCACCTAGCCTGGCACAGGTGGTGCATCTGCCAGTCGTCTCAGTCAATCCATGGCACCATCTGGGTCTGTCCCGTGTTCTCCTGCACCTAGCCTGGCACAGGTGGTGCATCTGCCAGTCATCTCAGTCAGTCCATGGCACCACCTGGGTCTGTCCCGTGACCTCCTGCACCTAGCCTGGCACAGGTGGTGCATCTGCCAGTCATCTCGGTCAATCCATGGCACCATCTGGGTCTGTCCCGTGTCCTCCTGCACCTAGCCTGGCACAGGTGGTGCATCTGCTAGCCGTCTCAGTTAACCCATGGCACCATCTGGGTCTGTCCCGTGACCTCCCGCACCTAGCCTGGCACAGGTGGTGCATCTGCCAGTCATCTCAGTCAACCCATGGCACCATCTGGGTCTGTCCCGTGTCCTCCTGCACCTAGCCTGGCACAGGTCGTGCATCTGCCAGTCATCTCAGTCAATCCATGGCACCATCTGGATCTGCCCCGTGACCTCCTGCACCTAGCCTGGCACAGGTGGTGCATCTGCCAGCCGTCTCAGTCAGTCAACCCATGGCACCACCTGGATCTGTCCCGTGACCTCCTGCACCTAGCCTGGCACAGGTGGTGCATCTGCCAGCCATCTCAGTCAGTCAATCCATGGCACCATTTGGGTCTGCCCCGTGTCCTCCTGCACCTAGCCTGGCACAGGTGGTGCATCTGCCAGTCATCTCAGTCAGTCCATGGCACCACCTGGGTCTGTCCCGTGACTTCCTGCCAGCAGCGAGCCTTTGACACTTTACGCGGCCTCAAAAGTGCACCTAGCCTGGCACAGGCGCCGTGGAGACGTCACCGCAACTTAGTGGCGAATGGCGGTTGTTGTTGTTTGTGTTGTCACGCTAAACCCTGTACCCTGACCCCGGGAGACCTGGCCACCTCCGATTACCGTCACTTACAGTGAGGGAAAAAAGTATTTGATCCCCTGCTGATTTTGTACGTTTGCCCACTGACAAAGAAATGATCAGTCTATAATATTAATGGTAGGTTTATTTGAACAGTGAGAGACAGAATAACAAGAACACAATCCAGAAAAACGCATGTCAAAAATGTTATGAATTGATTTGCATTTTAATGAGGGAAATAAGTATTTGACCCTCTGCAAAATATGACTTAGTACTTGGTGGCAAAACCCTTGTTGTCAATCACAGAGGTCAGACGTTTCTTGTAGTTGGCCACCAGGATTGCACACATCTTAGGAGGGATTTTGTCCCACTCCTCTTTGCAGATCTTCGCCAAGTCATTAAGGTTTCGAGGCTGACGTTTAGCAACTCGAACCTTCAGCTCCCTCCACAGATTTTCTATGGAATTAAGGTCTGGAGACTGGCTAGGCAACTCCAGGACCTTAATGTGCTTCTTCTTGAGTCACTCCTTTGTTGCCTTGGCTGTGTGTTTTGGGTCATTGTCATGCTAGAATACCCATCCACGACCCATTTTCAATGCCCTGGCTGAGGGAAGGAGGTTCTCACCCAAGATTTGACGGTACATGGCCCCGTCCATCGTCCCTTTGATGCGGTGAAGTTGTCCTGTCCCCTTAGCAGAAAAAAACACCCCCAAAGCATAATGTTTCCACCTCCATGTTTGACGGTGGGGATGGTGTTCTTGGGGTCATCATAGGCAGCATTCCTCCTCCTCCAAACCCCGCGAGTTGAGTTGATGCCAAAGAGCTCCATTTTGGTCTCATCTGACCACAACACTTTCACCCAGTTGTCCTCTGAATCATTCAGATGTTCATTGGCAAACTTCAGACGGGCATGTATATGTGCTTTCTTGAGCAGGGGGACCTTGCGGGCGCTGCAGGATTTCAGTCCTTCACGGCGTAGTGTGTTACCAATTGTTTTCTTGGTGACTATGGTCCCAGCTGCCTTGAGATCATTGACAATATCCTCCCGTGTAGTTCTGGGCTGATTCCTCACCGTTCTCATGATCATTGCAACTCCACGAGGTGAGATCTTGCATGGAGCCCCAGGCCGAGGGAGATTGACAGTTCTTTTGTGTTTCTTCCATTTGCGAATAATCGCACCAACTGTTGTCACCTCCTCACCAAGCTGCTTGGCAAAGGTCTTGTAAGCCCATTCCAGCCTTGTGTAGGTCTACAATCTTGTCCCTGACATCCTTGGAGAGCTCTTTGGTCTTGACCATGGTGGAGAGTTTGGAATCTGATTGATTGATTGTTTCTGTGGACAGGTGTCTTTTATACAGGTAACGAGCTGAGATTAGGAGCACATCCTTAAAGGGACACCTGGGAGCCAGAAATATTTCTGATTGAGAGGGGGTCAAATACTTATTTCTCTCATTAAAATGCATATAAATTTATAACATTTTTGACATGCGTTTTTCTGGATTTTTTGTTGTTATTCTGTCTCTCACTGTTCAAATAAACCTACCATTAAAATTATAGACTGATCATTTCTTTGTCAGTGGGCAAACGTACAAAATCAGCAGGGGATCAAATACTTTTTTCCCTCACTGTAAATAGTCTTACAGTTTTGCATCCTATAACCGTGCTATTGTTATATCCTCAAAATTATCAAGAATATTTACCATCATTTAAAAAATGCTATGGCTTATAATAATGTAAGAATCTACCACGACAATTATGTTTTTGTTTCCCAATGAAGCAAATACATTTGGTGGTACAATTGTGTTTTGTTATTTGTAATGATAATATTTAAACAATTATGGAAAAGGAAAAAACATCACCAAGATGATGCTTCTCCAATCGCAGTAATGTCATCGCAGAAATTACTGACATCACCGCCACTTATTTGTAAAAGGCGGCTGTTGTTGTTTGTCTGACAAAACAACCGCCACCTCATGCATCGCTGGTGTCACAAAGGGCAACACTGTGGTGTGATTGTGATCTATGCCACTGTGGGGAGGGGAAGGCGAAGAGTGTGCTGATGCATGCTTAGGAGCTGTTATCACCATCGCATGCACATGACCACCGCAGTAGCCAACGGGGACTCTGCATTTTGTACAAGGAGCTGCTGTCCCCTCCACCTTCAATTCAATTACTAAAACGAACAAAAAACACGAATATACTTTCTCTTTTTTAACCAGGTAAGGCCCGCTAAGCTAGTATAGCTCTCTTTCAGAAGCGATCTTGCCACAAATGATAGCTCAACGAAGTGGCTTATGACGTGGAAATTTATGGCAGTGAAATGCTCTAACCGCGCGCAGATTATAAATTCGGAGGCAAACACCCGGAGAAAAATCCACACGACCACGGGGAGAGAGACTTGCAAACTCCAAATATACAGAGGGCGTCACAGGGTCGGGATCGAACCCACAACCTCCTGTATACCAGGCGAGGTAGTTAACATCTCGCAACCGTGGCGTCCAAGACCTCTCAGATACTTGAGGTTTTGGGGATGCGGTGAGGGATTTCGCTGGCTCAAATGCTCATGTTTTGTATTTCTGTCTGTTGCCGGCTGGCTCCAGTAAGATAAAAAAACGTTTGGCTCATCACTACAGCACAGCACAGCGATTGGGGATTTGCTCTCCACAAAGCTCTGCACACACTGCCACCTCTTGCTCAAGTGTAAATCGGCTGTCCGGCGTGTGGCGAGTCTGACGTCAAGCCAGGCCTGACAACCTTTTTGGACAACGTCGTTGCTGTGCGATCCGTTTGTTGGTAAATGCGTTTGCCGTGGCAGCTTTTATACTTTAGAAGTTACGGAACGCTCAAGTGGTGGCAATATCGCTTAAATACCCTGGACTGTATATTAGTGATTTTATCCGTGATGCAAACAATGCATATGTGTATAGTACTCAAATATTGAATGTCATGCATTTTTCTGTGGGTCCGCTATTGAAACAGGTTGTATCACATCTCTGTTAAATAAAGGTTACGCGCACTGTAACCTGACCAGAGGGTATGGCATCTTAAACAGGTATCGTAAGAGTGTATTATTTTGGGGGTTGTGCAATGGTTATCACACTGTGATGTGAGCCCCGGCCGGTAACCTGAGTTTGATTCCCATCCACGGCTAACAGCAGCAGCTGTGAATTCTATGGGAACTGGTCCTGAAGCAAAAATCTGTATCTATCCTGGAGGAATCCGATGAGCTTGTGAAGTTCTTTTTCATAGATGTCCAGTAAGTACGATCATACAACCCCCCATGGTTGACAGTGCGTGGGGAGGCTTTCATATCCAGCAGTGTATTTACAAAGGGCTGGCCACGCACTTGTCATGTCCAAGTGCCATACCCTCACTCGGCAGGAGAAGGCGGTACACCGCAGTGTGGACTAATATGATCTGTCCCTTCTGTGTCGGATGGAGTATTTGCCCACTCGCACGCGTGGGTTTACTTTGGGTGCTCTGGATTCCTCCCACATGTATAAACATTCACATTAATTGACTGAAAACATGTTAATATCTAGAGGGCTGCAGAGGTTGGGAAATTGCTCGTACCGGCTCACTGCCTGGCTGCTTTCCAGCTTTTCTGTAGTTCACCAGCGATTGTGGAGAAGCACATTTGCTTGAGCGATGCTATATGAAACTGAACATCGTTATATATTTTTTTTGTTGTGAAACAAGACGTTGCATCACATGTCACGATCCGGTACTACTGGAGAAAAGTGGAAAACTTTCCTCCTTGCAGAGCCATTCTGGTTGCAGTGTGTGCATCAGACATTGTCTGCACCATACGCTGTTTTCCAGTGAGTAGAAACCTGCTTCTGCAAACACATTTATTATGCCCTTGAACATTGCAACAGAAACTGCTGCTTTTCGCCAGCAGTGGATTTATCGGTAGCAGACTGCCATCGCCTGGCATAGGAACGAGAGCATTTTTAAGATCTGAAAGGTTTATGGAAAAAAAACTATAGTCCTACACATAAATGTGATGGGCAACTGTAAATTATATGTTAATACAGATTTTATTCTGAAAGTATGAAATTTGTAAGTCTTTGTACGGTTACTGCTTTTATTTTATTTTTACTTTACAATTGTTGTATGCTGCAAAAATAAAATTAAGCATATAATGCCTTAATTAAGATTACAAACTCTACACATTCATCAAGAACACTTCCCTAAAACATCGCCTCTTCCTTTTTTGGCTTTTAAGGCCACAGTGTTACTGATGAATGTTTTCGTCTTTTTACTTGTGCACCATTGCCAACACTTTAAGATTGTATAACTGTGTTTGTATAATGTTTCTAGCGCAACATCAACTGCAGATGATTCATACAGTACAGTAGCAGCACAAATACTTGTGTATTAAGGTCAATGGTAGAGGCATTCAGCTGTACGGTACAAGATAATGAGATTTGCATATAAACATTTCAATTACAAGGAATGTTTTATTTCCAAAAGAATGTTCACAGTATTGCAAATACTTCGACGTTGATTTGGTTTCGCACAACGTTCCGTTAAACTTGGCGTTGTTGATCTCATGCTAAATGATATATCAGAGATGTTCATGGAACCTATTGGAAGGAAGCATGCACACCTTTTCAAATCACGTGACATAGGATATACCCGTGCGTCGACTCGATATTGATTAACGTAGCGTGCTGCCAATCACAGTGAAGACCAAAACCAAAATCTTAATTTGCAACTTTAGTGCATTCATTTGAGAACCATTTATTTAACATTTACTATAACTAAAAACAGGGGAGGGGGTGGTGACACAATGGTCAAGCGCTCTGCGCTATAAACCCCGGCGACCCGAGTTCGATTCCTGGCCACGGGTAACATCGGTGGTGATGTCTGAACTGGTCCTGCACCCCACCCCGTTTGGTCAACCCACGCTAGCCAGCGTGGTGAAGTATGGTCAAACAATCCCCATGACCGACACGACGTTGGGAAGGCTTCATGAACACTGGGTTAACAAAGGGCTATACATTATTCTGATTGTAATAATAAATATTTGTTTGATGTTATTGTGTGTTGTGTTTATTATCATGGAGGTTTTCCTCTCATGGCAATTGGTTTTATGCCCTTAATATAGATAATCATTATCACTATGGTAACATATTATATTCCACAAATCCAATGTATGCTATTTCAAAACGCTTAATGGTGCAAAATTAAGCTGGAAACTCAGCATGCAATCTTAACCAAATAACTCCCTATCGGAAAAATAACTATATTCTGGAATTATTCAGTTCCCAACATCGGTGTTTAACATAAGTCTATTCCTAACCATAAACTAACCATAATAATTATTCCCATACCAGTCAAAATCTAAATCCCTTAATAGTTGTCAAAATCCCAATCTTGTAATGTTGAAATTTAGTCATTTTTTTATTATCAATCGAGCACCAATCTAACGACAAACACTCATACGCCTAATTCCCATGCCTGTCACTCTCAACGCAATCGCTTTGGTCAGTTTCACATGGCTGAGATGAAACAAAGTAGAGCATTTAAGGTTTGAGAATATAATATTCTAAAATCAAAGTAATATTGTGCAATAAGAAACGTCAAACTACTTCATAAAGTAATAGTAATATGCTTTGATGAAACTGCACCGTAATTCAATGCAAGCTCATTCTGCTTTTGGGGAATTGTTCATTCGGTTTTATAATTGTAGGAGATGTACAGTGGTTAATTAATTGGACAACGTATTTTGAGCAATGTATTATGCATCAGTTAACGTATTATCGGACTTATAGTTCCATATGTAGCCACTTATTTGTGACAAAACTGTTTTGCGATATCGGTAAAACATTATCTTCCTTCATACAAATGTTAATCTCGTTTAGAAGTATCTTCCAAAATAAATCTCTCCTAATTTTAGAGGAGGGGTTGGCAACCAGAATAACGAGAAGAGCCATATGTTTGCGATTTCGATAAAATAAAACCCATCAATATTTCACGAGCAGCAATGCACGTGAAGACGAGACGGTGCTCCTGAATAATTAACGGTCACGAAGCAGTCTTTAAAAAGCCGCGTACGGTTCCGGATGTTGCGTGTTGCCGACTCCTGTTTTAAAGCAATTATCTTGTGGAAGACGTCTTTTCATAATATCACGGCATTCTCCACAGCGTCCACTCTTTATTTCCTAACGTTATATGCGTCTATTTGTACCCTTGCGTCTTTAATTCCCGGGATGTCGTCTATTTTTGGGTGAGATCACGTAAATATGAATATGTCGTTAAACCCACCACCACCCGACACAGCCAATTTGTAAGGTTTGTCGCGTAAACAGAACATGTTTGAAAACGACCCCAAACTTTGGGGTGCATCTTACTTTCCAGAGCAACTCATAATCTGGCTAATACGGTAATTAAAAGCTGTATATTCACAGGTGCATAATACGTTGCTCTTATGAAGTCCCTTGAAATGGCAATCGAGTTCCTTCCTTGTTCACGTGACGTGGAGAGTTGCCACCGCACTTGGGGGCCGTCCATAAATGACGTCATGCGATTTTGGACGATTTTTGACCCCCCCCCCCCCCGTCGTCACACGGCGTCACAAAAAGTCAGACCCCCCCTCAAATATGACGTCACAAAGCTCTGCCCCCCCCCAAACCATATTTCCATTTTGAAAATAAAACAAGCTTCAAATCGCTTTACACTATTGTCATTGTAGTGCGTATTTAATGTGGCGCTGCACTCTGATGTTGTAGGAGAAAACATTTATTAAAAAGTCTATTTAATTAAGTAGAACGTGTTGTCTATATTTATTTAAAGTTGCGCATTTTTACGTGACGTCACATTTCTCACCCCCCCCCCCCCCTCGTCACACATCGTCACAAATATCTGACCCCCCCCCCCCCAGGTGCATGACGTCATTTATGGACGGCCCCTTGATCTCCAATGAAGATGCGTAGATTTTAAATGTCGTCAATCCAGAGGCGATTATTCCAGCTCTCAAACTCAAGTCGTGCACCACCGCTGCAACTGAAGCTCTGCCACATACAGGTCAGCAACCCACCTTCTATACTGCATCATACAGGTGGGTATCACACCTCCGTGGGGTTCACCAGCCCCACGTCTTCCGCTACAGGTGTGGGCCACTACTCTCGGCAGAACGTTGTGCCCTTGCTTTGTATATTTAGGCCTACATTTTAAAACAAATGCAGACTTGTTTTAAAAAATATTTTAAATTATAAATAGAGTTTCCGCAAAATATGCATGAGGTGACATTTTACAATAATTTAACAAAATATTTCAGAATATTGAGCAATGGTATATATTACTTTTCTTTCATAAATCTGAATAACTTATTTCATAGCATGCGTTCCCTACTTGCAACAAGCTTCTACTGCTACAGTCATGACCAGACATTGACGAATGGGGTCACATTGGGACCAAATTGGCCGTAGGAATGTTGTAAAAACAATGCCAGTGCGTGCTTGAGAAATAAAAATACGGGAAATGGCATGAGTTCACTGCAAAAAAATGACGTGTACGGTTTTGCACACTTTGAGCACCATAGTTTGAAGCCACGTCGCGATCACCGTCAACGGCTTGAGTTGTGCCATCTGTGGCTCTTCCCATCGTGATTCAGGCCTTTTGACGGTATTCGTATTTTAGAGGCGAGAGGTCTCCAAAATGTGCAATGGTGGTGTCCAGAATAAGAATGCACTGCGTTTAAAAAAAGTTTGGAAGAAAATTAATGGCCTCAAATCTCGCTATTGCTAATGTCTTCCTGGCCGTAGTAAGATGCAGTCGCACCTTGATTCAGTGTAAAAGTGTTCTCAATGAAGGTGATAGCCGCTTCCTGATTTTTGGCAGAAATAACTTGGAAGCTCCACGCAAAACCCACTTAATTGGGTTCTGCCTCCACTGGTTTTTCCACGTGTGGCATACGTAAAGTCCATGCCCGCAAATACGCCATCCCGAAGGGCTTAAACAGTTGCTTGGGTCAACTCAGAAGCTTGTCCCTTTGGAGTCGAAATGAGGACCACTTCGTGAGTATTGCTTGGGGGGCTCAATGCTGGCAGCATCTGATTTGCCTTGCTCCTAGCCATTTCATTTTATTGTGCTGTATAGAATAACGGATGCTCAATGCACATGTACAGATGTACAGCCACAGCACGTTGCCATACTCCAATCAGCAGTATCATCACCGCAGAGATGGAGCGTCGAAATCGGCTGGCGTGGAGTTGTCAAACCAATGTAACAATACATGGAGTGGAAATGGATTGGGGAGGTCTTGATCCAGCAGTGGATAGAGTATGGCTGATGACAACGAAAATCATCTACACATTTTCATGATCATTTTTTTTTTTTTACAAATCTAATTGGTATAATATAAGGAAGTGAAAGCATTTGTTGTTACAAAAAAATGTCATGAACATCAAAACGGACACCAAATTGATGTTGGGAGAGCCTTGTTTCTTTCTGTCAATCTCCCATTTTGCAGTGGCGATACGGGTTTTCCAATCTCAGGTGATGCAATGCAGGTGGATCAATTGACCATTGAAAAGTACAAGCAGTATGCAATGGTAACGCAGCAGTGGCAAAAGCAGCCACGATACCAGTTCAAGAAAGCTGCACGGACTCTGAATGTGTCCATCTGGTGGTGGAGAAACTCTGGGGGAAGCTCCTGCCAACGCGTTACACTTTCTCAATCCACCCGCGCGCATTTTCCTGAGGATGGAAAACGCGAGGTGAGTTTCTTAGCCTACCTAACCCAGAGCTCCGTGCCGCCGCTGCTGTGCGGCCGGGCTAATGTCTGATGGTGCCATTCAACTGGACAGGTCCAAGTTCAGATTTTGGATCAGGATAATGGGAGCTCCACACCGATTGTCTGCAGGGAGGCAACGATTGGCAACCCAGTCGGACAGAGCTCTCAGAAACAGAGCAGGTGTCGGCCAGCACCCAAAATCGCGAAATTAGGTTCTCAATCCAGGCCCAAAGGGCCTTGTCTGTGAGTAAGGCATGTTCGTTAGCTTCCTGTTGCCCTGTGTTTTCGACTGGAAGTTTCAGCACTCTCCTGAGACCTTGAAAGCTCTGCTCCAAATATTTGTTCTGCGGAGGGCCCATGTGCGCATAGGCAGCTTTCTCTGCAAATAAAGAATTGTTAAGAAGTCAGTACAATGCAAATACTGTGCAACTTCAAATAACACTTCAGCACGAGAACATACAATCTGAGCTACATCACTGTGACGTCAACTAAAACAATGTTGGTACGATGTTTAACGTCAGCTTGTGTCGCGAAATTACATCCTTTACACAAGGGGGCCAGAACTAGAGCCGAATGCACGATCGACAACAGCAGATCAATTGTTTTAAGCACTGCACGTCCCTGCCAACTACTGCGGCACAACTCCACTCAATGTACAGCGGTAGAGGCGTCGCCGCTTGTTGCAGAAGTTCGCGGTTCAAATCCATCGGCAGCCCTAGTCACTACCGTGGGTATATTAGCCGTAAAAATACGCGCCGTCTGCTTCACAGTAGACGATACAAATCGTGTGGTGTCATTCGCAAAATAATAACTTTGTATTATTGCAATGTATATATGCATGTTGAACTTCTTGCCCACCGTACGTAGCTAACCGTGCTAATCGGAGGTTCGGCGGAAGGACAACGAACTAAACACAAAAAGCAGTGCTAAAGAAATAAGTTTTCCATCATGGCCCCCTCCTGTAAACATTTGGCGGGACCCTCCTGAAACAGAGTCGCGAGACTCGGCGAGGCTCACCTTTGGTAAACAACCGTGAGACAAAAAGGCATAGTTAAAAATACGTGATCAAAAATAACGTACGAAATACCTCACCTTTCGTCATCGGTTGCCCGTCCAAGAAAGCCAACGGGCAAACCATGAACAACACCTCCGCCACGGGGCGCCAGCGAACGAGCAGGCGGACGGACCAGGCCCCTGGTCGGAGAGGCAGCCGCAGCGGGGGTCGGTACAGGGTCACGAGCAGGTCCCCGCGCACGGGAGCGTCGTACGAAGCGGCGATCACGCCGGCGGGGTCCAGCCACACCACCGTCACGGTGACGTTAGCCCCCGGTACCCAGTGCTGCACGGCCACGGGCTGCTCCCACGGGCCCAGCAGCCCCCCAAAGTTTCTGAAAACCCTTTCCTTGGGGTCCCAGTCTGTCCCCACCTGCGGAAAACAACGTGCGAGTAACTTCCCACTCAAACTAGCTTGTGACGATGGCGCAAGTCCCCCACATCTCAGAATCAGTTCGCAGGCTTTTCACCATCACACCGTCGCCAATAATGTCCCCTTCTGCGTAGCACATGAAGAAGGATCATTGCCCAAAACGTCACCTAACATATATTTCCCTTTAAAGGCCACAGTGCTATTGACAAATGTGTCGAGTTTTTAGCCTTGGTGGTGAGTGTACTTTCACCTCCATCTTCTGCAGCCGGGGTAACAGAGTGGAGTTGTACACTTTGTAGTGGTTGCTTGGGTACGCCCAGGTTTCCAGAACTTCCTCGTGGCGGGAGGCTGAGTGTGACGCTCTCTGCTGCACCAAGATACCCTGGAATCGGTCGGCTGAGAAGTAAATGTGGGCAGCTGTGGGATGCCCCACTGGCTCGTAGCTGCGGGCACAAGAGCAGTGAAAATACGAGGAAATAAAACATCTTGCAGTAAAACATTAAATTCTGTCATCACATTATTATTTATTAATAAATAGTACAAAGCGTGTAAGTGTGTGTAAACGTATTCAAAGCAGCTATTGTCCGTGCTCATATATGTTAGTGGCCCTGAGAATCTAGCGGAAATTCCACACTCTAAATCTCCTACGGCCGACAGAGTTGACCATCGTTGAGAAGGAGCAATGGGATCGCCTCACGTGCACAAGCCAGGCGGACATTGCGACATTGCGGCATTGCGGGACCGTGAGGGATGCCGATGACCCCGTGGCGGCCCTCATCCATCGTGGCTGCCGCTGGCGATGACGACGATGATGACCTCACCTGCACAGGCTGCTGCCGGATCGTGGCGTTTGGTGCGCGTTTTGAGCGAGGCCGAGGCGGAAGAGGCCCTGGTAGATCGTGAGGGCGGCGTCGCCGAGTGATGCCGACGAGTCCGTCCTCTCGTCGTACGCATTTTCCCAGTAGGCCTGCAGAGACGGTCCGCTGGGCGGCGGCGGCCCTCCGAACAGAGCCGCGTCCAAACTCGTGAGCACCCCCTGGCTCACCACTGCCTCAAATTTACGGGCAAAAAATGTCGGGCGTGTAAGTTGCTGCGAATGCAAACAAAAGGAAAGGAAAGAAACGGTGCACAAACTTAATATTCAGCAAGTAATTAGACGAATCGCTCAAGAGTTAAAAAACACGTGACACATTTGACAAGAGAATAGACCAATGTTGATTGCTGATGTAATAAAAGATAATGATGTCCAGTGCTAAATCGTAGTTCATGCAAATTTAATCTCACAATCGCTTCGGAACCAGAGACGAGCTGAAAGGCAGCCAAGCGCTGAGCCCACGCCAACATTTTTTTTTTTTACCCACGTGACTTTACCGAATAGAACCAAAGAGTATGGATCCTTGCAGTCACGAAAACTTCAAATATAGAAATCTAGAATTGCACAAAGCTCTGCAGCCCTCTACGTATGAATGTACTTTCAGCCAAAAAATAAATGTGATGGGAAAAAATGTGTCTGCAAATTAAGACTAAAATTGACTACTTTAAACTAGAAGGCAGCACGGCACTGCTTTCTCTGCATGCTTAGAGTGCATGTACCTTTAGAAGCACATTCCATTTTTTTGGAAAAGTAATAAACACACTTTGTGATTTTAAAGGAAGCTGCAACCCATAAAACTGCTCTCATTTCTCAGATACACACCTGGGCTGCAAGCCCTGGGCTGTCTGACAAAAACTTCGTTATTGAGATATACAAAAAGTAAAGTAATGGTCAAGCTTTGCTACCATAGCTCACTCGAAAGACGTCACCGCATCGGCACTGCATAAGAATGAAGGGGATCGACATCACGGGGGCACGGTGCTTAAACTTGCCGCTGGGCAGGCCAGGACAATGCCGGTTAGCTGAATTTCTACAATAGCTTTCCGTTTCCGAGCCACGTGTCCCTCTTTAAGCACGTGGAAGATGTACGTATGTAGAACTTAAATCGCATCGTACGTAGCCAACCGTGCCGATCGGAGATGTGGGGGAAAAAATTACTTTGAGATGCAGTTTCGATTATTTAGGTGGTACGAGAGATTCAAAATCCTTATCCTTGTGAGCACGGGACATCAATAGCCTCTGTCTAAATTGAATAGCACGTACCTGGAATCTTGGCAAGTCGTGCATCTTGAAATCGTTTGGGGAACAGCCACACCAGTCCACAATGTGTTTGTACTGGCACTTGCAGCCCAACTTTCTATTCCAGTTCGTCATGCGCAGGTTGTTGTCAACCAGTGTGGCACAGTGCTCGCTGTTCACCAGCAAGGTGTGGAAGAACGACTGTGAACGGCAACATAAATCACGGTGGTCGTCGTATCATTGGCTCGCACTACAGCCAACAAATAACGGTTATTCAACAGAGCTGTTGTTCGTCTATGGCACGGTGTTTCTCAAACTTTTCTGGCCCGCGAACCGCTCCGCTCAGCCGATGCAAACATTTCCGCGGACCACCCAGCCCACCGACCCCTGGTGACAAAACGCATTCGCTTCTCTCTCTCTCTCTCAATGCCAGTAAGACAAAATGATTCATATTACTGGAACATAAACACTTTTTTTTTTACGCAGCTATAAGGATTTTTTTTAGGGGAGACATTTAGATCTTAGGGTTTAGGGCAGTTTAATCAGGGTTGCTTACTTAACTTTATTTTAAAATCAAATGTCATAAGTGAAATGTTAATGTTCGAAACAAAAGGTATAAACATTGTCATTATTGTCCGGATTAACCTGCATTTGCATCACAGCCCCGCGGATCACCTGGAGGACTGTTGCAGACCACTGCTGCCCACGTTGAGAACCACTGGTCTCGCAAAATAACCACGCAGAGGAGGGCGCAAGTCACCGTGCCATTGATACCTCAAATTAAACAACAAATGTCTTTAAAGGAGGAGCACGTGCACGAAATGTAATATGCTGTAGACGTGATTGTGCATTACCTCTGCTGGTAACAGGGCGAAGGCGTAGAACTGTTTGAGCTGAGACACCAGGCGGGATTTGGAGTGAATGATGTAGGACACAAATTGGCGGGTGACCGCAAACCAGTCCGAGCCGCCATCGATGGCAATCCCTGCCGGCATTTTGCGTTCTCCTACGCGCCACATGTGTTCATCGCATTCGTGGAACACTCTGTTCAGGCCCTGTTTTTTAATGAACCTGTGGAGCAAATCAGCAAGTTTACATGTCCGTACCTATCCACTGAGAGTGTATTTGTGTTCTTTCAGCATGCCGCATTCTTTCAACATTAATCATAACATTTATTTACAAAACTTCATCTCGAAAATTGACATCAAACAAATATGCCACTGCTAATAAAGATGTATATCCCGTTAAAACGATGTCATTAATATAGAGTACGTACAGACATTACAATTAACCAGTGTAAGCTCTAGATTGCTACGTCATTACATTGCAAAAAAGTATCCATCAACATGTCTTAAGAGAGAATTGGGCCTTCTTCGATTTTCTGATGACATCATCTGCAACCAATGAAATTGAATAACAGGAAATTATTCCATATTGCCAGCTATGTACATGGCTCAAGCACTTACGTGTTGTGTTTTTGTAATTTGTGCTTTTGCACCACTGCCAATCCAGTATATCACACAACGGATTTCTATTTAATATCCACAATATTGCACATTATGAAGAAACCTAATCTTCAGTCAAAGGGACCATTCAAATTTGTCTTGGCAACAGATGACAAAGGGATTTTAAAAGTTAAATGAATATGTACAAAACAAGATCATACCTGGCAACCCCCTATCAGTGCCTACCGTATTACAGAACAATTCAGACCTAATTGGTCATTCCATGCCCTTATAAATCTCACCATATGGACCTAAAAACAACATTTTTCTGAACAAGAATACGGGTAAACCGTATGGGTTGACAGGTATACAATATACTCTACTATGTAAAGTGTAAGGCGTTTGATGAAAGGAATAGTTTTATGAATAATGATCATCAACACACTTACTTTTCAGTTTCTCGGCCATGAGATTTAAGGAAATTCTTGTCTTTGTATTTGGTGAGGAAGGCGACCAGTTCATTATTGCTTCTAAAAAAAATAATGTAAAAAAGCAGCATAAAACATTTTTTTATATTTTAAAACATAAGCAGACTGATTTAATTGATAACATTTCATATTTACACGATTTCAAATGAACGGTTGATGCGCATCATTCAGCACTGCTACACATGCCTCCTTAACTGACTCAATGTCAGTTTATTCTCCCACAATCCACCAAGACAGTTCGTCATAGCATTTTGTTGTACTGTACTGTGTTGCCTCACCTTTTACACACGAGAGCTGAAGCTCAGGCATTTGGCATACAGGCCAAAAGTGCTTTGTGCTGTCTACAGAGATGATGTAACATGGATACATTTTACCCTCATATGCCTGTTCAGCTATGGACCACAATGGGCATAGAGTGGTGGCCAGCCAACAGGAGTGGAAATACTGAACTGTGGGAAAAGATAATGCAAGTTTGTTCATGAGAAGTCCAATGAGACTGCCTGCCATACGAGGTAGGAGGCACCATTCCCTTTTGTTCAAATGTAATTATGTCTGATACAAAAAAAGGTTAAACTCATATTGGCAAACCACCAGGAGAACAATAAAAGCCATCCACTGAACGTTCTACAGTTATACATTACACACTGAATTTTAATGCAGTGTAAAGACATAAAAACAGTTTAACACGTAGGCTTTCGCGACCAATATTATCTACAATAGAGGTTTTTAGGTTAGATCGCATAAATATAAATGTGTCGTTAAACCCGCCACCACCCGACACAGCCAATTAGTAACAACAGTAAATGTTGTGGGTTTGCTCTCCAACACACCGGTGTGCTGAACCAGTAAGGAATTGGCATGTTTTGGTTATGTGACAAACCTTACTAATTGGCTATGTCGGGTGGATGCTGGTTTAACGACACATTTATATTGACGCACTCTAACCCATAAACCTCTGTTATAGACATAAAAACCTAAGTAAATGCACCTATACCTTACCAAGCATAATACACTGCAGGCAAGTTTCTGTATAAAAACAAATGGCAAGCTTTACTGTCATCATAACTATAAACATGAATGATGTGTGGCTGGAAATCAGACTTAACATATAAACAATCGTAGATAAGGACAGATCTCACCGAGAAGATGTTTCACGAACCGTAGTTCTGCTCACAAAAATACAAACCTCAAGTTGATAAAAAAAATGTTTTATCACGTATCAACAAAAAAACCCTGTCCCCTGTTCGCCGTATAAAGTACGGTAAACGACTCCCAATTGTGCTGGCATAGCCAGAGCTCCGTAATAACGCTGGCGTCTACGGCATCCTGTGAACTATAAACTTGCGCTCGGGACAACAATTGCCTCCAGTGGACAATAAACCACACACGGTTCAAATTCTCCCTTGGGCTCAGACTCAACACATTAAGTTCCACGTGAGCTGCACCCCTGATTTCCCCAAGATATCTAACAATCAAATGTTGGCCCCTAAATGGGGCTGTTTTGGGTTAGGCTTTTGAACCTCAAACTCTGAATGTTGTTAGCCTTGGCCTGGATTTCAACTCGGGTTGGTAATTCGCTTGTGTAACCTGAGATTGAGGTCCACCATGTCAAGGTTACTACTACTACTGTATCAATGTACATTGTTCACATGAAGAAATGTGTTACACTCTTATCTTTTACAACTTTGATCGTGCTGTTTATTGCTGGCCGCTTGACATGTTGGCGCCTTTTTGGCCTGTTCTCAGCATTACGCAACCACGGGACAGAGGCGCGTGCACGTGTACCGCTCAAAACGAGACGACGCACGGCGCCGTACGAACCGAATTGGGTAGTCGGAGCCACTGAGGTTGATGAAAAAGTCCCACGGCCAGTCGTCCATGGCCATCAGATCAGACATGGCGCGAAGGTACATGGTGAGGAGGCTGGCGCCCCCCCAGATGGTCGACATGCGCCAGGACGTCACGCGGACGTTCTCGTAGCGCTGGGCAAGTACCAGCACCTGCTTGTAGAGGTAATTCGAACGCTGCAACAAACAGTAACACCTCCCGTTATGTTTTATGAAAAACATTTTTTTACGTAAAAAAAGTGTATGTACGAATGTTGAACTTCTTTCGCACCATTCGTAAACCAACCACGCTTCAAAGGACATCATTTATAGCACGTAAATGTGCAAATAAATAAATAATGTGCTGTGAAGAAAGGTCATTGCCCCAAAACGTCACCGAATGTATATATTTGTTATCCTTTTTAAGGCCACACAGCGTTTGCTACGGCTGCATGTTGAGAGTTTCTGGCAATTTGTGCTCGCGCGCCACACTGCCAACACAGCAGCGTCGCCAACTCGTCTCTGTACCGCGGAGGACGGGGGCCGTGCATTGTTGAGTGAGAGAGAGACAACAACAACAACAACGACGACAGAACACCCCAGAGCGGTGCTCGGCTCGCCTTGTCCACATGGATGTAGTAGAAGTGCGACGCGTGGTAGATCGCGCGGAACATCTGCAGCAGCTGCCGGGAGGCGCGCCCGTGCACCGCGAGCACGAAGGCGACGCGGACCGGGGACGAGGTGGCTGCCTCCCCCGCCGCTGCCGGCCTCCCCCTCTCCGCCGGGAGCGCCGCGCGAGCCGCCTCCTCCTGCAGCCACTGCACGCTGACCCCAGGCTTCTTCTCTACGCGGACACCGCAGATGGGGAGGGGGGGGGACAGCACAGAGACAACGCGCAGCCGTGGAGACCACACAAAGACGGAGCGGTGAAGACAGGGGACTTCACACGGACACAGCCGTGAAGACAGGGGGACATTGTGCTGGGTGGTTCAGATGTTTTGTGACCCCCCCAATTAATTGACCCCTAACATTTTTTTTCCCTTTGCATTATTCATTTAGCTTTTAAATGAACCTGGGCCACCCTGTGCACAAGAGACAACACAGCCATGAAGACAACACAGAGGCACAACTGTGAAGACAACACAGACACAGAGCCATGAAGACTGCACAGAGACAGCGAAGAAAAGACGAGAGACGTTCAACAAATATGAACTCATCTCATTCAGAGCGCGAACGTGCATTAACGATGTAGCCGGTGCGAATCTAACGGCTACAGACAATCCGACTAAATTTGAGTATTCTGCTCGTTGAAGTTTGTATGCATATAAACAGTAACACAGTTAATCTAAAAAGAAACCAACTGGTGATGTTTCCTATTTTGCGTTACCCTCCTGAGCCCCACTGGATTTCATATTTCAAATAAGTGACAAGGGGGAGGGGGGAATGGCTCAGCTACATGTGGCTGTGATTATTATCGTAACGCATTAAAACAATCCGTCGATCCGGAGGGCTTTTGTGGCATTGCCGTGAGAGCCCATCTATTATTTCACGAGTTATTTTCACAGCTACGCCTACCGACAACGAGTGAAACGGCATGTTGGCAGTCCGTCGGGGGTTAGGTGACTTCCCGCACGAACGCAACATTCACATGTGGTACAGCCGAGAGCACTGTCCTGTATTCACACAAGTCCGCTCAACTTGTCACATGTGGGGTTCAGGGCAAAAACGAAAATGTTTACTCATGGCTTATACTTCGGAACTGCATTTAAAACTTTGCACCTTCAATGCTTTGTTTCAGCTGCTACTTCTACTGTGCATGGAGTTGATAAATGAACAGCTTTAGAAGTTTGGGTGTTAAACAAACCCGCGGATGGTAAAGAGTGAAAAATTTGAGAAAATGCACCAAATTGAACCTTAGAACCGCACCAAGCCTCATCACACCTGGCCTCATCACACCTGGCCCTGTCACCTGACTGCGTCACACCCTGGCCACGTCACAGCTGGCCCTGCCAGCTGGCCGCATCACACCTATCATCACACCTGTCATCACCGCTGACTGCGTCACACCTGGCCGTGTCACACCAGGCCGCACCAGATCGAGATGTTACACGTGCCTCTTGCTGCAGAGGCAGCGCAGCCAACCGCTGCGACTGCGGCAAGTGAACTGCCACGGTGGGAGGGACACTACGACTCCTTGACAAGTCGGGCGCAACAGTGGCAGCAGGCGCAGCTGTGGCGTGCAGCTGCCTCTCTTGCCTACCTTTAAGAGGACACGTTCGCGGCAACTCCTCGGGCATGAGGCGTCCTTGTTGGTGGAGGCAGACGACAGCGGCCAGCTCCTCCTTGCACTGCCGGCTCTGTGCCCGGGACATCGCCGACAGGGCGTCTGCTTCGACGATCTTGCACGGAGTGGCGGAGATTGGCTGCGGGAAAGCCTGCGACTCGTCAGTTGAAGCCTTGGTTTTAGCCCTGTTTTGTCGCAACGAATTTCCGCCGACCATTACCGCCTTGATGTTGTTCGACGTCAAGCCGCCGTGAGTCTTGATATCCTTTTGTAAAAATCTAGAAGCTTTCATGCCGTGTATGCTGCCAAGGCTTTTCTGATGGTGCTGACTCCACAGCTTGCTCGAGGTGTTCCCCTTACGCGCGATGCCGTTCGCTGCTAGAGCGTTCCGCGATATTTTCTTTTCAATCTCATTTTTCACAGCAATCTCATTTCCCAGGTTTTGCCACGAGGAGTACTTTGTCTCCAACGAAGACATGTTCTTTAACTGTTTAACGTTTTCTTTGATATTGCTCTTGAAACGTTCATTTGGTAGATACAAAGCGTTGTAGTCCTACAAAAACAAAATTGTTGAACTGTTACAAAACATGATAACGGCATACTTTCATTAAAGTGTAAAGTTTAACGTGTTCCACATTAATATCTGAATCCTTTTCTTCGTGCCATACAATGCAACTATGTACATATTTTTTTATATAATCGCTATCTTCCCGACCGCTGATCAGCATGGTTGGCAACGTATGGGGCCAATGAAATCCAACGTACATACATGCGTACAGACATCTTTGCGAGCATTCCAACAGCAGGAAATGGAAACACTGAGCAAAGTTTGCCTTTGCTCCTAAAAAAAACTATTTGGCAAGTGGAATCCTGGGATGCCAGGCTCCTCTGGCAAGCCCGAAGCTCTGTGCTGTGCTGGAGCGATAGGCCGGAAAAAACCCATCGACGACATTGGAGACAACCCCTAGGCGGGCCCCCGGTTGACACAGACCACGCTACTCTCAGCGTGGTGGCAGGAGCGGGTTATAGGATCGCCTGCCGGCGTCTCGTTGGGGACCGCTACGCTCCGAGGCGTCTGCGGCCGTCTGGAACGTTCTTCCTTTCGATATTAGGAAAGCCGCTGGAGCTGTCCACTTTTAAATCTAGATTGAAAACTAATTTCTTTAGAACTGATTTTGGTGTGTAGTAGTCCCCCCACGCCGCACCTCTGATTAGCACAGGCGGCTACGTGCCGTGTGACAGACGTACAACAAACCGTACATACATGATATGCCGGGCAGATGGGAACACCATGAACAGTGTCTCTTACAAGTCCCGCCATTGCTAACTCGTTCGCTGAGTTAGAAAACGAACTTAAGCCGTGCAATGCCCCACCTTGAAAATCCCAATACACAGCACAAAGCAGTGGTCAAAATGGGGCGGGTATGTGATGGCGCGCCACACCGATACTTGTCAGAACGGTTCATATTCCTACACCATGATGTTTCCGCAGAGGGCAATGAAATGGCATTGAACATGGGCTGCAGGACGAACAGGTTTATAGTGGCACTCCTACATTTATATTTTGACCACTGAGTATATAACACATTATAGAGTGTAATATATACACACTGGATATTGTAAAAAAGTATATTTAATCTACAGCTCCTTGTTTGGGTCATGGGGGTTATTTGACCATACTTCACCACGCTGGTCTGTGTAAGTTGGCAAAGGCAGGGAACATCGGTGTGGGAGCATAGAAGTACAGTATAACTATAGATTTTTATGCACTACCCTATGTGCGTGTTTGTTAAGTGGGTCGCAAGAGCAGCTCAGATATCAGTCGCCACTGAAAATAGCCATACCCGGGAATTGAACCCGGCTTGCATGGTATGCTAACTGCTGCACCACCACTCTAACCCCATGCACAACGCATTGCATACAAACTTCTCGGTGCTCATTGTTAATGTCACATTTTTTGGTGGCAACAAGCCAGAGGCAGAACCGAGACGGATGGTGCCGGGTTTAACGGCACCATATATATTTACGCGATCTAACCCCACCCCAAAAAAATACCTCTAAGGCCTTCTTGTGCAAGCGTGCGAAGCCGCAAGTGCATGCGTGAGCTGCCCGTCGCTGTCACCTCATCTCGACTGTGTGGCAGAACTACGAACGTGATGATTAAGTGATCAGGATCACAGGTCGGACCCTAAACCCTGTCCCTCCACCCCTAATCCTAACTCTGAACCTCCACGTAAGAATATAAATTATTTTTACACATCCCACATCAGCCACACGGCAATTTGGAGAGTGCGTACATTCTATGGCATTGGTTAAGCGAGGTTTGTTTTTCGAGTACGAGTTGTCTCTCTCGGCGAGGCAATGACAGGCAGCTGCGAAACCCTAATGCTAGTTAAATTAGAAGTTTGCAATGTGAACTGATTTTAATGTTTATTCAACTACGCGATTACGCAGATGAGAGGAATGACCGAAAAGAGGTGTCCGATCCATCGTATTATCTGAACCCTTCGTGCTGACAAGAAGAGCGATCCATAAAGTTGCGCCAACTCATCCTATTGTAAGGACAGTACGGCTCCTCGTGGCCGTGGTTACTAATTGACGTGACGGGCACTGACAGGGTCGCGTAAGGATAAGCACGGGACCTAAGTAGTCGTAAATAATCATTGAGGCAGGGACACACATGCCCAGATGAGGTTAGAGAGTGTTCGGGAAAAGGAGCGTGGCCGGGTCGGTGAGTGGATAAAAGCCGGCGTGGAACAGGGCTCTGGGCTGCTGCTGTGGGGGAATCAAACCGGAGGTTTGTGTGTGGGTGAACACGGATGATAGGATTCGCCGTAAACGCTCCATGCATCTGCTCAGATAAAAGGTTGTCCACTATATGCCACAGGTTAGCTAGGTACTGTGCGAAAGAAGTTCAACATACATACGCAATCTATCAATGGCACAACCATTGCGGATTTCCCAAAGAGCGGTAAAAAATATAATAATTTTTTATCCACCTAAAAAGTGACGATTGGTGACATTGTTTCTACATCTCGACCATCCCCATTGAGAGCCACCACTGTAGCTTTGATCTCAGTGGTGGCCCCTGCCCACGCCTCTCTGCGCTGATTAATGCGGTCGTGAGCCACGGGACTACCTCCACTGGGGGTCCCAATTAGGAGAAGAAAAAAACGACTTCACTCAAGAGGATACAATGTTTTCCCTTCTCATTCACTGCATCCAACATTCATCTATTTGTTCTACCTTGCATGAAATACTTTTTTAAAAAGCAGGTTTTATTTATATATTGTTTGTATATCTTACAATGTGAGTAATCTGGGGTGGGGGGTGGGTGGGAATAATGGCACTTAAATATATGAGTTGTTCCTGGAGGTTCCAGTTATTTTGCACACTAACAAAGACCCCCGTGTAGTCATTCAGACTGCTGGGGCAAGCCCTGTTAACGAGCACCATTTGGGGCCACATTACACAACAATGGGGCGTTGTGGCCAGGACTACACCCGGCTGCCTGTGTCTGCAAACTGCTGGTGTTGATTATATACCGCACCAGGTACTCTTTTGAGGCTGAGTCGACCTCGACGAGGCACTCGACGGGGTTCACATATCACTCGTCACTGACGTCAGCTGTGTGAGCGGGGAATTGAACTTGCCCTGGGTGATCCCCTGGTACATAACGCAGTGCGCGACAATCACTGCAACGCAGTTCCCGGCGAGCTCAGAGCACGATACTCTTAACCTCAGGGTTCGTGGGTTCAAGCCCCACTTTGGGCATGCATATCGTGACACACAAATACAAAGATCACCGGTATAGACTTAACAGAGTTTAGGGGCAAGTGCTGTTAGCGAGTAGGACCTTACAGTATGAAGGCCGGCATGGCACACGAGGGGGTGGGTGGGTGGCCAGCACCACGCCCGGCCGCCTTTGTCTCCCCAGTGGCGACGCTTACACATCGCACCAGGTACTCATTTGAGGCTGAGTCGACCTAGAGGAGGCCCAGGACCGGTCCAGATAATCGCCACCGGTGTTGGCCGTGAGCGGGAATCGAACTCGGGTCACCGGATTCGTAGCGCAGCATAGCGCTCACCGCTACACCACCGCATCCCACGGTGACACACACACACGGTGACACACACACAGTGTGACACACACACAGTGTGACACACACACAGTGTGACACACACACGCGCGCACGTACGTGGCTACGTGGAAGCAGCTCGTCGGCGTCCGGCAGCTGCGCACGGCCGCGCCGCCCGCCTCTGCCCCCCCACGGCTGCTGCGGGTGCCCCAGCTCCTGCACGCTGCCGAACCTCCACACGGCCACGCTCTGCGCCACGAGGATGAGCAGGGTGACGGCCGCCGCCGAGCGGTACCGCCTCAGCAGCTTCACCACGCGCCGCACCACGGGACCTCTGGCGGACGTTGAGGGCGGAGAGGACAGGTGACCCATCATCTATCACGTCTTCTTCCTGCCTCACGGCCTCTGCAGGAATGTGGCCGATGAAATGTCGAGGTTGCAGTCTCGGTGGTCGTGTTCCTTTGGGCACGCAGCAAAACCAAAATTAAACCACAGCGGTGGAGGGTGTTTGCGCGTCACGAAATACTTGGTTCACTCCTGGAGGCAGATTGATTGTCGGTGCAGGCGATATCCGTCGTTTGAGATGTTGACGCGGTTCGGTCTTTCGCCTTGATGTGCAGGTGACAATCCCAGCAGTGCCCTCCAACCTCACTTTACAAATTACACAAAAACCCCCCTCCACAGAACATCAGGTGATGCGTCTCTCATGCAAGCGAAGGGCTATAAGCGTTGGATTTTTGGGGTTTTTTTTAAACAAATTTCCCGGTGCTCTGAGACTGCACAACCGGTGTCAACGCGAGCGTGGAAAACTTCTCTTCGAATTTGGCACAATGAGCCGGCGTCAGGGAGTTAGGAGCGAGAGCCCTGCACGCGAGGAAGGGGACCTCCCCAACTCCACCTCAACTGCCGCTAGGGCAGCCAGATGCGAGCCAATGGAACTTAAGCAAGCATTAAGCAGCCGCTGGAAAGAGAGGCGAAACCCCAAGATGAATAGCATAATTTTGGGGCTTACAGTGAGGGAGTGCAAACTATAGGGGTGGGTGGGTGGGTGGGGGAGGAAGACTCGGCATTCTGGGAAGTCTCAGTTGAAATCATTGGACGTCTTTGTTGTATAGGCTTAAATAAACGTGCGTTCGTTCGTTTCTCAGTCCGCTTATCCTGGTGACAAGCGGACTGAGAGGTTTTGTGGGTTTTTATTATATATAAAATATATGACATGTCTATTGAACCTAGTTGGGATTTTAGGATATTAGTTTTAGAAAAGTGAAGAATTAAAATCCTAAGGGTACGGTAGCGTGCCTCTCAAACGCTCCGCATTTGTAATTTGCACTAAATTTGGCCATGGGCATAGTAATCAAAGAGCAGCGAGGGTAAATGCCCTCCCCTAATATTCGTTAATTATTCCCAACCGATCGCAATTATCCACCACCACACCAGACCCCGTAATCCTGCATTAAACACAGGGGTGTTGGTCGTGCATTGCTCTTCCAGTTTATAGCCTTCGGAACTCCTTACACAAAGTTACAGGACATTGTGCGTTCCAAAAAAAAAGTCAAAAGTGCAACTAGCTGCATAAAAATATGTTCCCCCCTTTTTTATCAGCTCATGGACCTTCCAGACCAATGTTTCATAACAGAGTTTGTTTAAGCAGGCAAATGCTGGAATGGTCTTACCGTCTGGGTCTCAAATCATCAGTGAGGCTTGCTTAAACAGACGCCGTTATACAACACGAGTCTGCAAGGAGAATAGCTTGATGAACTAGAAAATCAAAACGTATACTGTACTGCACTTCATGCGGACACACTTTTCCGTTTAGAGTCCCTTCGACGAGCCCGCTTAAGTGAACACTGTGAGGTTATTGGTAACCAGACAGACACTATGAGCTCACTACACATGAGATCACCCATTACTCAATCCTCTGATCTCAACACTGACTGCACAGAGCACTCTGACACAGGCCACCTCAAGTGTACGTTCATTTCATATCCAAATCTTGGACGTTAACCAGAATGTAGTTATACATTCTGGTTATATTTATAGAGCGTCTTGAGCTAAGGAGCTCTGTAAACACAGAACACGATAAGAGAGCTACAAAAATGCTCAGTCAGCCCATTTAACTCGGCTGAGCGATAAACACAACGCCTGAATGTTTTGGTGTGAGATCGCATTGAAAAGCACGCAACACAGCAGCTCAAGTTGCTCATGACATTGTGAAACCAAAGGGCTCACAGGTTTCAGGCCTCACATCGACCCTTGTGGCTAGCAGCTGAACATGAGCAACATCTCAACCCAGTGTTGTTGATAATATTGCACGCACAAATAACAACAATTCTAATGTACAGCCCCGCCCACTTCGTTCTGAGACCAGGACGCTTGTGCCACGCCCATTTTTAAACCTTTAAAACAGCTTAGCCTTCAGCGGCCTTACCCCCCTTTTCCTCCTGATGACGATCGCTTGTGTTGTGATGGAAACGTCGTAGTTTTTCTTTTATTTTTTTCTATCTACGTTACTTTACCGAAAGATCCAAAGAATATGAAGTCCTGCAGCTTTGTAGGTCGTGAGGGTCGTTTGACCATACTTCACCACGCCGGTCAGTGCGGGTTGATGAAGGTTGGAGAGAGCCCAGGACCGGTTCAGATATCGCTCGCCACTGATATTCGCCGTAGGCCAGGACCCAAGTCAGGTCGCTGGTTTCAGAGCACAAGGGACCTAACCACCGTGCCACCGCCCCCACCCACACGGCACACATAAGGGACACCTATTAATTTGGCGTAAAACTATTACCAGAAACGCACCTACAAGGTCTGCTTAACTATAGTAAGCCTCTTCTTTGGTTCTTTCGGTAAAGTCACGTAGAATGAGAATAAAATAATAAATTGATAAAATAAAATAACACAATAATATTCTATTTTATCAATTTATTATTTTATTCTCATTCTACGTGACTTTACCGAAAGAACCAAAGAAGATGAATCATTGCAGTCACGAAAGCTTTAAATCGAAATTTATAGTAAGCCTTTAATTGAGCACTTTAACTACAACACATATTAATTATAAATATCTATTAACAATAGCTGTTGAAAACGAGTCTTATGGATATCAATACAACAAACCACTATGAGCAACTGATGCATATTAGTAGAGGGGGGGGGGTTGCAACCTAATGAATGGTAAATGCACAGACACACCCACAGCAGCAGACAGGAGGCATTTCTTAAACGAGTCTCGTGTGTGTTCACTGGCAGCCTCGGAGGGCGTTCGCGTATCTTGCCCCCACTATCTGGGCCAGCAAAACCACAGTGGATTCATTCTGCTTGGGCCAAACATCCCGGAATAAATTGCCATTTATGAGTCAGTGTGTTTGGAGAGTAATAAATAAACATCGGACTGTGGCGTCCTTGTGACTCGGTCCAGCTGTGGGCACACCGAGGCAGGCAGTATTCACGACTCAAAGGGGCACTATAGTTGTATAAAGACACGCTGTTGACTTATTTACTAAAACGCGTAATCGTAGTGCTTTGATATATTTTTTTACAGGTTAAGACATCCACCGGCTTTGCAGCGCGTTGCATGTTTAGGGGCTTTCTTTGATAAATAATGTTGTACTAAATGTGCATTTCTTTTCCAATGTATACCATTCTTTGTTTAAAAAAAAACATGCATTTGTTGTGTTTTTTTTTTTCCAGATATTTATATTTCCAACATTGCAAATGTGCTACCAGGCATACAAAAAAGAGTGTTTCCCGCCTTCACCAACCCCATTAACCAGCGTGGTGAAGTATGGTCAAATAACCCCCCCCCCAAATGACCCGCCCAACCTTGAGAGGGGAGGGGGCCTTCATCCAGCAATCGATTGACAAAAGGAGCTGTTCGTGTACGAACTACACTTGCAAGCCCCACAGCAAATTTATTGCAACTCAGTGGTAGAAATCGTCTCTTCAAGCACGCCATCTCGGGTGTCTCATCTCGAGCCCCGCGATGGCGTCACGGGCACTGAGACACGTCAGCAACAATGGCAACGGTTTTGTTTTTGCAGAATGATGCGATCAAGCCCAATTGTAGAGGCGCAATCGTGTTTCCTTCCACACATGTGTTGAAGCCTTCTTATCCTGGGGAGGGGGGGGGGTAGACATGGAAGTTAATTGGATCCAGAGGCCACGAGTCGCAGCACAACCCGATTACCTCTTCCCCAAAGCGCCAAGTGGGCTGCAGATTTATCGAGTCGTTGATGTACAACTAAATTACAATAACACACAAAAAATATATATACTCCGTTTAATTAGCAGAAACGTTCATGTCATACTCTTTGAACTTGGTCTCACGAGCAGTCATAGACCAGTTTGGAACAGTTTTCATAAAATATTGCACTTTAGAAGAAGAAAAAAACATTCAGGAATTTAGCTGCCGGGAATTGGCTGGCTATTTGGAAATCACTTTGCCATACACGGCATCATGTAGAGTCCCATTCCATATGGTGCGGGTCCACAAGAGCTGTGTCAACAAGTTTGACATACAAGCCCGATGCTATGTGCGAGTTTCCTTCACTTACACAACATGATTTGTACATTGCGTATACACACAGACGCAGGCTTAGAATTACAGCGAGAGACGGGGAGAAGAGCACGCGGTGTCGACAAACGTGCGACGGCCATTGTCACTGACATCGCTCGAACTGCGAAGAAAAGTCGGCACTGGCTTGGGCAGGGCGCGTAATGGCTGGAAGGGTGGCAATGGTCAAGGCTAATAACAGAGTGGCAGCCAAGGAACGGAACGCAATCTGAAAGCCCACCCACCGTGGAGACGGAGTCATGAAATCGGATCGGATGCAGGCGCTGGGCGGATCATTTACATCGCGGGATTGTGGGATGTGGTTGTGGCTTAGGGAGGTCTTCATCCAGCAGTGGAGTGAACATGGCTGACGATGATTCGTATACAGTAATTGTTTAGTCTTCCTATCGGTCATCCTCTTATCTCTGAAGACCAGAGAATCTACAATTGGTCTCTTTGTCTGTGGATCTCAAAGGAATTGGAAGACAGTTAATGATGGAAAATAAATGTTTTGTAGCTTACAATATCAACATGACACCTGGTTTGTAGATTTGTAAGGGCATTGGCAAAGATCGCTTGAGACGTGGATCTAGCCAAAATAAGAATACATAAATAAACTGGTAACATTGCCAGCTGTTATTGTAATTGCTTATAGAAACGGCGTGTTGTTGTTCATCACTTTTCTGTGAGAGAAATGAGGTGGAGCGATCATCGTGCGTAAAGGCAATTTGCTGTGGATCGTTACGAGCTACGTTTGCTGTACCTCCTGCATGTGGCGCGTCTTGTGCTCGATCTATCGCGTGTGTGTGTGTCTGTGCGCAAGAGAAGGACCTCCGGATTTTTACAAATCGTGTCTCGCTATGGCTTCACACAGCCAGCCAGCAAAGGGTGCTTGCTGATCATTTCTCTGTTCTCAAATGTCGACAACTTATTTCAAACTGCTAATTAACGTCATGGGCTCTTCAATACCCCCTGTGAAGCAGGTGCGTATTTATGGTCGATACATCCGCGGTATTTACCAGGGCCGCCGTACGTTCGAACTGCGAAACTCTGCAACGATGCTTCATGTCACGTGTGTAATTTTTTTAAAAGATGTCAATTGCAACTTAAAGGTGAACTGTATAAACCCCAGCATTCTACATTCCAAAAGTAAAACGTGATTTTCAGGATTCAGAGTTTTGTATATTCCCGTGAACACCACATTGTCGCGCGGATACAGGGATCGAGAGCTAGACAGAGAGAGGCGGTAAGTTCGAAATCTGGAATGGAGATTTTGCTTCCTCCGTGTGAAAATTCAAAATAGGGTGAGAGTTTTATTTTTATGCCAGATTTAAAAAAATTGATTTCCACCCAGTGCAAGTAAAAAACCGTCTTCTTGCATGAGATATATTTTTTGGGACCTGTGATGGAATTAAAATAAATGTTTCTACTGTAATACCATTGTGTAGCATAGTTTTATATTTGTTTCAAGATTCAGTAATTCCCAGACAAAACTGCTCGAATATGATGTTCCAATAATCGTGTAACAGTATTTTTTTTTACTCTCCACACGATTCAGCAAGTGCGTGGCTTCATCCAGATGTAGTGTTGTTCACCAACACGGAGGTACACACTCTGGACTGGGAGGCAACACTTTCCTTTAACAACTTCCCTAACACTGAACGTAACTCGAGTTCTATAGTAGGTGATGTGGCTAACTATGTGAGTAGCGAGTTAACTCCAGACGAAGACCAGGAGACGACGAGACGCGGGACCCCAGGCTTAATTCCACAGACGAGCCCAGAACACTCCCGGGACTGCCCCTTTATGATCCTGGGCGTGGCCTCGCTCCGCCTTCAACCACGCCCCCTTCGAGACCTTTCCCGAAGGATCTCGGCCGAGCATCACGTGACCTTCCCAAGTTCACTCAGGCCACCAGCAGGACCACGCCCCCTAGGGCTGGCTGACATGCCGTACCCAATCTGGTGCTAGAGAGAGGCTCCAGACGCACAGCTGCACTCCTGTAACATCAGCTGGCGCGAACACCCGAGTGTCACCATTTACGTCACTACACAGACACCATACTCATCCTACGGGTTATCACTGAGTTGTTATTGTGGGAAGGAGACGAGACGAACAAAAAATAACTTCCAGCTGCTACAAAAATGCAATAAAGCAGAGATTACTTCAACAATTACGTCAGACATTGATGCCCAATATCGATTAGAAGCTTTCGTGACTGCAGGATTTCATGCTCTTAAGTTATTTCGGTGAGCTCACGTAGATAGGAAAATAAATAAATATTGCATCACGACGTTTTGATCGCAACAAGCGAACGTCCTCAGGTGAAAGAGATAAACTTGCCTCTGTGACAAGGCATTATATAGAGGGGGGAGGGGAGGCCGTAAAGGGGCGAGGATAACATTCAAAGAGGGCTTGGGTGAAAGAGAGAACAGAAATGTGACAAGGAAGCTGAGATATAAAACTTCACAAAATTTAGAAATGTAATGCAACTCAGAGAGTCGGCTAACACAACAGTTAACACTTTACCTGGTTGATGAACGTCCTTCCAAAGATTGCTACATTTTGCATCCTCCCCCCCTCCATATAATGCCTTGTCACAGAGGCATGTTTCTCTCTTTCACCCGAGGACGATCGCTTGCTGTTGCGATCGAAACGTCGTGAATTATTATTTATTTATTTCCCTATCTACGTGACTTTACCGAAAAAACCTTAAGAGTATAATGTCCAATATGTTTGGAATAGCAATGCGCACGTTGCTTAGGATTCACAGAAAATAAGTTTCAATGATTTGATTTTTCACTAATGAATGAACATGTTGGTGATATTTTATGGGATATGGTACCTTGAGATGTATGTACACTATATACACAAAAGTAGTTTTTTTTTTAATTTGACGTATAAGCTCTCCCATCCTGCAGGAAACACAACATTCCTGTACGTGTTTAATTCAAAATATTGAATGTAAATGTTTAACCTCGACAACCACGGGGTAGTTTACGTATATGCAAATGCATTTCACTGCACTGACAACTCATAACTCACTTATACATCACGACTGCCACCATTGCATCATCAGATGTAATATAATTGGATTTAACTGTGCGCTTTGGCTCGCCACTATTTGCGCGTGAATTAAAAAATAATCATCGTAGCATTTGGTCAGTAAACTGAAGCGTTTGCTTCTGTTCTACTGTTCAGCCAGCAAAGTGTCAACCTGCAGAGCGAGTTTAACATCGTTTGGACATACTCTTTGTTTTTTTCGGTAAAGTCACGTAGAAATAATAAAAAATACAATTATATAATAGC